AACAGGTAGCCAAACTTTCTGAGCTATCACCGCTACACATGTAAAACTGTCTTTAAAAGGACAAAGACGCACCACATTGACACATTTGGATTTTGTGGGGAAAAGTTCATTTTTCGTGGTCTCTTAAAAAAGTGTAATCGTTTCTTTGAATTAAAATACACACAAATAACGTTTCAAAATCATGGAGAGAAGACCCAGACATAGAAAATTTTTAGAAAAATGTGTTTCAAAATGTACAATTTTGTACCAAATGTCTGATATGGCCATTTCTCAAGTTATTTTTTAGCAAATCAAAGCTCAATTTCGGGAAAATATTTTCCCTTTCTGTTGAAAGAACCCGATAAATTAAAAAAATGTTAAAATTTCATGTGACATGTCAATAAAATTTCACTTTTCAATTACGCCCAGGTTCCTGCCGAATGCCAATCAAAAGCGCCCTCGTTCTTTGAAATTCTTTTCTCCTGGACATTAAACAAACCGTTTACACAAGCAATGACCTCTCTTCTCGTTTGTTTTATACACATTTCGTGGCTGGTTTGATATCACACCTTTCAATATTTGTGTACACACCAAAATTGTTATGAGACTTCAATATTTTAGTAATAACATAGGTCCGCGTTTCTATATTTTCTTACATTGTATGTGAAGTGAAGTTGAAATATTAATTTAGATCAAGAATTAAAATTTTTATGACATAAAAAAAAACAAAACAAAACAAAAACAAAACAAAAAACAACATAATTTTTAAGTATTGAAGTGCCATCCTATACAGTACATATTATACATGTCTTATTCTTACCCGGCGCGCGCCCCACCAAAAATCAAAGTTGGCATAAAACATAATTTCGTCGAAAAATGTATTTAAAAAAAAATGTCTACTAGGTACGTAGACCTCATTTTACCCTAAAAATCTAGAGAATCCAGGAGCTTCTGTGGGCTTTGCGCCCCCTGAGCCCCATCGGGCCAACCCTGGGGGCCACTTGAGCTCCCCTCCCGAACTTAAATTCCTGAATCCGCGCCTGATTGTTGTGTTATAATATCTAAGCAATCTAAGATTTAATAACATTTTTCGTCTTTTGATTATGAAAAATCTACTTCCAACTTCCAACATTAAAACAGTTTAGATTTTAGAAATTAAGAATTTTGATTCAAACACTCAACTTTTAAATAACCGAAACACTTTTTTACATTTTGAGTTTTTAGAAGTTACTTCAAATATACAGAATATCAAAATCAAAATCTTACCAAATCTAAAAAAAAAAAAAAAAACGAAACCTTTTGAAAGTTGAAATTTAAAAGTTTGAAGTAAATTTCAAATAATTTAAAGACGAAAAATGTCAGTGAACTTTAGATTAACAACCGTAAATTTTCTGTACAAACGGTAGAATAAATAGTCAAACGTTTAAAATACAAAAATCGCTTCTGGAAATTTGAATTTTGAACATTTAAGGTAAAAATCTAAAATATTTGAATTCTAAAACTTTTTAAATATTTGAAAAGTTAGGTTTTTGAACTAAAGTATTAAATTTCAATATACCAAATCAGTTTGAGTTTGTTGAAATTTAGATATTTGAACTAATATGTTAACATTCTAAACTCAAAATCATTTAAGAAATTTGAATTGTTAAGTGTTACACGGACCTTGTCAGCATTCTTTGTCCTCCCTATTTAAAACCCCTGGATCCGCCCCCATATAAATCCTGGGAAGGCCTCTAGAGATCTACGTATATTTAGCAAACCACGTGAATATATGCACATCGGATTTTTCCGCTTTGAATCGAAACCGAAAGTTAAAAATCAGATGCATGCAAACCATAATATATTCAGCGCTGTTGCAGATTTTTTGGTTATTTGTAATACTGCAGAACTTTGAATTTTATATATTGCTTGGATTTCAATTAAAATCAAATTAATGTAAGTAAGTACAATTTAGTATCAAAACCATGTATATGTGTATAATTATGTGTGTTTAGTATGATTGCGAAACGTCACATGCAATCTATACAATCAGCTGATCGGATTTATTTGACATGGTCTTGTTTATTTTTCTACAATGTACTTATTGAAACAGCGGCATTAAATCTGTCTGCTCTGGTAGGCATTATCTAAATAGTGGCTTACACTGAATGACTTAACCTGGCCAAGAAAATACTAAATGACTTAACCTGGCCAAGTAAATGGGACACCAGTCCACCACTTGCCTGTGGAGGGCTGCAAATTCACTTCCATGCTTCGTAACAATTTAGCAGTGAGGGTTCTTCGTGTAAACACCTTTACTTCGGCTTACATGGTCTTGTCTAAAAGACCGACCTTCACGCAGTCGCTGTGGGATTCGATTGATTAGTTTGATTGATTGATTGTATGTTCAATATTAATGTCTCATTCGAGATATTTTTTACGAATGTAGAGTCGTTAACATATATACCGACGAATGACTTCAAATTTAGATTTTAAATCGGCTCTCACGACCATTGAGCTGTGAGGAATGTTCATTTCAATTCCGGATTTTTTTTTAGATTTTGAACTCTCAATAACTAGACGTACATGAAGTGCTACATCATACATGCATCTATATATGGTGTAATAGTTTAAATTTCAATTTGCACCGTTTAAATTAACGAAAAGGTACTCAACAAAAATTCCGGTAATAAAAACAAAAATATAATAAAAATGTCGGAAATTCGATGCAAAATTCCGGGCATGAAATGTAGCGGTTTAATATGCCAACGTCGCGGTCGTGATACAGGGCCCAGTTTTTTTTAAAGGTCTCATTCGAAGGACCCACACCGGTCACGGTAGCCTAGTGGTAGAGCGTTCGCTTCGTGATCAGGAGGCCCGGAGATCGATTCTCGCTCGCGGCGCCGCGTCATACCTAAGACGTTAACAAAGGTAGTGACTGCTCCTTCGCCAAGCGCTCAGCACTAGAAGTGAAAGTCTCAATGGCCTTGAGTGCCGATTAAAGGTCTAAATTTGAAGGTCCTTAACCGGAACCGCATATGAGTGAAAAATTTTCGAGTGGGGTGTTAAACAATATAAAATCAATCAATTAATCAATCCGAAGGACCTGCAACTTTCACTCCAATGTGCTGATCGCTTGGCGAGGGAACAGTTGCTCCTTTGTTTTTTCGACTTAATAGATTCGTTCGAACCTACGACCTCTCAATCACACATGGAGCGAGTGCTCTACTGACTAGACTACCTTGACGAGAGAGAGAGAGTTGGAGAGAGAGTATTTTTATTTATTATTCTTACATTTTTAAAGATCTTATATAAACGTTAGACTTTGTCTTTCGCTACTAGCACGAAAAGTAACTGATGTTGTTATGATGGGCAGATAGCTGACGGTCGAGCCTTGTCCATGAGGTCACTTCCTCCTTATATACGACGCTACAATAGAGCTACAAGTACACAAAACGAAATAAACATGCAAATGCAATTAGAAATATGAAATAGCTCAAAACTAGACGCCCCAGCTAAGTTTGAGATTTAATGTACACGAATCAAAACCTAGATGAAAGTTTTAATAGATTTATTAAGGATGAACTGAAAATTGTCGGAGTCAGAGTTAGGAAAGAAACGTCATACATATTCATGTATGTTACGATTTCGGTAAATTCTTGTACAGTAGAGACAGAAATTGTGTGTGTTACTACATAGCACATATTTTTTGAAACTTGTTAGTAAAGGTCGGTTAATCCCTATTCACTTTCTTTTTGCGGTATGAAAATAAGCTATTAAAATTAAGGCTCTTTTTTGTTTCTCTGTTAATTTTTTTTAAAGCTTTTATTCTTGTAATTTATTTTTCTGTCTGGGCCCCCCTCTTTGAAAAACCTATTCGATCAAACAACACGTGTATGTAATCGATAATGAATTCTGGATCAGAGGTTAAATCTACAATCCAAAACTTTTGAAATCACCAAGTATAATTTTACCGACAAATTCTGACATGGGGCATGTCATCTTAATTTTCAATTTAAAGGACTCTTTGTGGCCGTGATTTTAACGACTGTATTTGTTGCAGTTTGACAATACCAATCTAGTAACATGTATTTATTTACGCGGATCTTTTACATATATAGAATTTCTGATAGAACACTGAAGTGCCGTGCATGTGCATATGTATATAGATTGCAATGTTTGTTAAGTGATGCGTGAAGTGCAGTTGCATATTTTTACATTTTGACTTGGCGATTGATAAAAGGAGGTTATATTTTTTAGTAAAAGTACATGAAGTGCATGTCAGTATAGAGAGAAATAAACACAATCTATCTGGTATATGTATTTAAATCTAAACCGCAACTGACATTACCTATGGTGCATGGCTGATTTCTCTGTAATTATGTTTACATAATGGCTTTTTGAAATACAAGTGCTTGGAAAAGGTTGTTGATGGAAATAAAGTTTCTAGTACAATGAAATGTTAGGCTACTGTAGGGCTAAAAGAAATGTATGAAGATTCTTCCATTTTCTTGCACTTTCTTTGTAACAAAAGCAATATGCATTATTATTTACTTTAAAAAAGGTCTTTTACTTTAATAGTTTTTTTTTTAATTGGAGAAGTTCACGGATGGATGGGACTTTAAGAGATCAAATTAGGTACAAATTAAAATACATGTGTGTATGAATGCTTGAAAGGTAATCGGATGGTCGTGATCCTGTTACGAGTAACTGTCAGAGTTCATAGCAATTCAAATCAAAATAATAATTATCTGTAGATTTTAGGATAAAATTGTCTAAATAAGGTTAAATATAGAATTTAGCAAAAACGTGACCGATATACCCCGCCATTTTTCCTTGTGAATTTAAATAAGTATTATGTACATGTACATGACTGGGATTTTTTTTTTACCACTACATTTTGCATTATAGAGACGCTATTTTTTTTATATGTACCCCTTTTTACATTTAAATACACTTTACAATGATTAAAATATCTTAAATAAATAACTCTCACAGCTGATTGCGTAAACTGATTACTGTACATTTCATTTCCTCTACAGATGACGAGAGCCGAAGTAGACACCGAGTGTAATGATCTGTGTTAATTTCGGTGGCTGTTCATTAAGACTTATCTCAGACTAGGATAATGTAATGGAAACATTACCATGTAAGTATACGGTGCATTTATATGGAAAATTATCTGTAAAAGTTAGAGGGGTCGTTTTCCACCCTATAAACTAAATAAACATAATGCTTAGAACTGTATTTTGTTAAAATGAAAGTAACTTATTAAATATTCATAAAATGTGTGAAATATTAATTTAACCTAGTAATGTGTTTGAAATATTGTATTTTCTTTTGAAGTTATCAATATGCATGTACGATTTTTTCCCTAAATATACACTCTCGATCTGTTCAATAGGAGAAAGGAAATTTAGAGAGTTTTATTGTATAGAACATACTGTTTTATGGATGCTTCTAGATACAAGTTTTTTTTAGCTTATAATTTATCAATAATTTTGTATATTTAAAAAAATTGATATTCTCCTTTTAGACGTATATAGTAAAAAAATAAAATATCTATTTTTATCACAGGTAAAGAGTAGAAGTTTCATTTGATGAAGAAATGTTTTGTTTTGTTTTAAATATTGGACATTGCATAAACTTACAAATCGAAACAGCTATATTAAGTCCGATGGTTAATAAAAATTGTTGCAAAAGTGAAAATAACATTTATTTAGTTCAAATAAAAATTAATGATTTCCCTTTTTAGAATAACGGAAAATGTAAATGTTGTTAAAAAAAGCTGATCCATAAATATACATAGTAAAATGATTATAACATGATTTGCTTGGTTTGTTAGAAAAATGTGTGATAGTTTGGATTTTTTATTTTTAGATATACCCTAAAAACTTTACCTCTTAATTTAAAGTAAAAATAATAGTGCTAAAACAATTATTATTTTTTATAGATATGAATCATTGATGGCTGGTTGGACTTGCATCAAGTGTATGTTTTTCGTTGCATTGATTTCGTCACTCAGAGCCAAAGGTCAGAGGGATGTTTCTATGATTACTCGTATACTAGTATACAATACCTTCTGAATATTAACAAAATATGCTTGCATGAGTGCAGGTATATATTATTTAAAGGTATTATAGTATGGCATAAACTAATGATTGCTCATTTGTTATGAAACATACTCAGTACTCAATTTTTATTTTATCTTATTAAAAATTTTTGAAGAGGAATGGGGGTCTTATATTGAATTCAAATGCAATCTCCCTAGTGACAATGTATGGCAAAGCCCAAGTTTGACTATTTGATCCTTAACTTATATAGTATATATGTAAACTTTTTAAGTTTCCTTTGAAATGGACACAGATACACTGTATAAGCAAATGTGTGTAGTTGTGAACCATTTATTTGTTCCGAATCACGGAATATCACCTAGTAGAGAGGTCGAATTGTATTACTGTTTAAAAGAGTTTTTACTTGGTGTAAAGAAGCTTCCCCTAAGTCCCAGAAGTCAGTATATTAAATTTTACTATCTTAGCAACCACTAAAAGTTTGGCGCCAAAGAACGATTAGGCCCACTGAAGTGCACAAAATAATCAAACGTAAATTGATTTATGTAATAATTTCAAATGAATCATATTATGTATGGTTTCAATACAAATATGACCTTGTTTATATGATCTTATACATGTACGTAGGAATACCGTATACATTATGTACTTACAGTTTTATTTCCAAACCATATATATAATATATTTATTAGATCTAAGTAAGGGATATTGTAACTTTTTTGTCAATGCCAAAGCAAGGTTTGAAGAAAGTTTAATGATCTTTGGCATACCATGCATACGGAAATGAATCATTTCAGACATCGTTTCAAGCAACGGTTCAGAGTCTGCATTTAGCTCTCTCAAGGGTTCGGGAGAGGATTCGTACATAATGGCCGTGGTTTGCGGCGAAGCATTACAGATAGCCCAAATTTAAAATAAGGTTCGCTTTGTGTCATACTGTAAAGTCAGCTGGGTGAAATCAAACTTTTAAAAAGTGCTATTAGTGGCGGATCCATGAATCTTGAAATCGGGGGAAGGGGCGACCAGTTAGGGGGCCGACAACCACACCAGAAAAATTGATATTTTAAATCAGGTGTATATTTTAGACGAAAAAAGGGAAAGGTGCCCCCCCCCCTTAATAAGCCAGTGCCTTTGTTAAAGAGAATTGAAACTTAGTCACCCTTATCGTACTTGCACATGATGACTGTTAAACATTTTCAAGTTTATGAATATATGTAGGGGAATGAAAATTTGGAGGATATTGAGCAGCTGGAGATTTTAAATTTCAGAATGTGCTGTACAAGTAGAACAGGTTATCAGAAGGGAAGAGCGTAAGTACAAATTTTAATATCTTCTATATATTCTTTTCTTGAAGCTTGTACACAGGACGTTTTTTGTTTGCAATGTAGGTACAATTTTCTTAGGAATTATAATATATACATACACGTATATATATTTAACAAATTAAATGATATTAATTATTGTCCTTGTATTAATTATGTCTTTGTTTTCCCTATTACAGCATTTTTCAATAAATCAAACTATCGTGAAAGATGTGCACTGCAAATTTATGGTGAGTGTTCATTTACGGGTAACAAATCTTAAGTTTGCTAATAATGATATCATAATTAAGCTACAATGTATTTTGATCAAGTAAAATACATGTATATTACAAAATTTTAGTCCTAACATCTCATTATACATACATGTATCTTACAGAATTCAAAATACATGTACTAATTAGCTCTACTGGTCAGAGACCAGAAGAGCTTATGCGATAGTAATGCGTCCGGTGTACGTCTAGCTGTCTGTCTGTCTGTAAACAATTTAAAATTCAAAATGTTACTCCTCCTACAGATTTGGTCTGATTTCAGTATAACTTGGCACACAAGTAGACTACACTAAGATACATGATTCTGTATATCGGTTTTTGATTTCGATGAACGGTGTTGCCCTGTGTACTAAAAATAGAAATTTCGGTGAAATTCTTTCAAAATGCTACTCCTCGTTTTCAATAGACGAATTTCACATTCCTAAGAGTTATCTCCCGTTGTCAGCGTAACACTCATTTTTCCCTCTTTGTCCTTTGTAAGTTACCTGTAAAAAACTTTAATCTTCAAACGATATTGGACATTTCGATATGTACCTGTATTGCCAGGGTATGGGGCAACATGAAAAAACATAAAGAACATATTCAAACTGATTTTATTTTCAAGATACTGACCCATAAAGTTAGTAATGTTATAGAGAGAAAACAGTATCCTACGCCGGTTGACCCCAGATTGACCTCGCAAAGGGGAAAAACTTTTGTAAATGTGTTACCTTGGCAAGCAAGTAGACTACACTAAGATACATAATTCTGTGTCTCGGTTTTTGATTTCGATGAACGGTATTGCCCTGGTTTCTAAAAATAGAATTTTCGGTAAAATTCTTTCAAAATGCTACGTCTCCTACAGATTTGGTCTGATTTCAATATAACTTGCAATTGGCACACAAGTAGACTACACAAAGATACATGTGTACATAATTCTGTGTATCGGTTTTCGATTTCGATGAATGGTGTTGCCGTGGTTACTAAAAGTAGAAATTTCGGTGAAAATCTTTCAAAATGCTACTCCTCCTACAGATTTGGTCTGATTTCAATATAACTTGGCACAAAAGTAGACTACACTAAGATATTATACACTTATCCACTGGTCGTGAGTGGGATAGCTCTTTTATCAAACCCGCGACAGGGAACTATTCCCCGAGGGCTTGCCCGAGGGGAATAGTCCCTGTCAAGGGTTTGATAAAAGAGCTATCCCACTCACGACCAGTGGATAAGCGTTTTATTATACTGATGTATGATATAATTTCTGATGTTTGAATTTTTTGGAATGAGATAATACTGCAAGAATAATCTGAAATCCTGATGACGTCACAATGCTTCTAGAGTCATTATGACATCATCAGTCTATAGATCTATAGCTGGAAATCAAAATTGGCGGCAAAAATTGCATGAAAATTTTCCGAGGGTGGATAGCAGAAACTATACCCCGGGGTATAGCTTTGCTATGCGTGGACTATACAAGATAGCTATTTTACCTTCTGAACTTTATATAGGAAACATTTTAACAGAAGTATAATAAATAATTTTATTTATCGGTTTTTGAATTCGATGAACGGCGTTGCCGTGGTTACTAATAATAGAAATTTCGGTGAAATTCTTTCAAAATGCTACTCCTCCTACAGATTTGGTCTGATTTCAATATAACTTAATTGTCACACAAGTAGAATTGATTTCGATGAATGATGTTGTCGTGGTTACTAAAAATAGAAATTTCGGTGAAACTCTTTAAAAACCCCTTCGTTTCCTACAGTTTTGGTCTGATTTCAATATAACTTGGCACACAAGTAGACTACACTAAGATACATAATTCTGTGTCTCGGTTTTTGATTTCTATGAACGGTGTTGCCCTGGTTTCTAAAAATAGAAATTTTGGTGAAATTCTTTTAAAATGCTACATCTCCTATAGTTTTAGTCTGATGTCAATATAACTTGTCTCACAAGTAGACTACACTAAGATACACAATCGGTTTTTGATTTCAATGAACATTATTGCCTTGGTTACTAAAATTAGAAATTTCTGTTAAATACTCTCAAAATGCTACTCCAAATACAGTTTTAGTCTTATTATAATATAATGTGGCATGCAAGTAAACTACACTAAGAACATAAAGAGACTTATAATCAAGGATTATTATTCTATTTATTGCTGTTGTAAAGTTTCCCAACTGCTTTTGTGCTTTTCTCTTCCTTTGCTATACGCACAAACCAGTAGACCTTCAGTCTCGACAGAGACTTCTGGTATTTTTATATAACGTACATGTATAAGGCCAATCTCTACATCTTAACAAAAGCTAAAATGATATCAGATGTCGAAATACATGTATAAGATGATAGACTAGGAAATCATGTATATTTGATAAGTTTTTGTGCCAAATATAAATTCTCAGAAGCTTGGTGGGGTTACACGATCCATTCGTCATGCAGGTGCCTGTGATTGGAATTGTTCTGAAAATTCAATCCCCTGTCCTTTTGCGGTATTTCATATATGCACAGTTCAAATGGCCTTTCCGATTTCAATCTGGATGAGCAATGTTGCATTAGAACCTCTCCAATTACCTGAAAAGTGTGTTTCTATGGTTTATATTCATCAATTTACTAAGAAATAGACTAAATTAAGACACTCCTTTCCGTTAAGCAAAGTTCTTTCGAACATATGTGAGTCTTCTTAATTAAATGCAAGAATCTGTTGTTTTACATTTCATATTTGACTTCAACTAAACTTGCTACAAAAGGTTTCATAATTCTTTAAATCTGTTAATGTAATACATTTCGAGTCCAAATTCTACTTTTCTCGGACTAAGCTTTTTTGTAACAAGTTAAAGTAGAGTTATATAGAATTTACATAGAATTACATAGAATAGTGATTTCTGCTTTGTAGATTACACTGGAAGAAAAGCAATGTGTAACGGCTACTTTCTTCACCCAAAATGTGTGTGTTCTTTTTACGCATATGAATTAGAAATACCGGATGTGTGCGATCGTTCTGATCCCAAGAAGAATGGTAGCTTGCACCACGTGTCAGGTAAATTTTATATATATACAATTTATACCGGGATATATACGATATATATAAGAATGTGAAGAAAAAAATTCTTAATAGTTTGAGTATAAGGAGTAAGTACAAGATCTTTTTTCCAGTGGATTTCTGTAGAGAATACAGCTTTACAAAGAATGGACCGTGTCAGAACAATGGCACATTAATACCTTCTTCAGATTTAGCGATTGAAGCAAAATGTGAATGTAAGAAAAACTATACAGGGGAATTTTGCGATGTGTATAACGGGGTAAGTTATTTAAAACAGTTCAGCTTCATCAGAAAATTAAATTTATATATAAAAAAAAATAATTAAAAAATAACAAGCAACATACGATGGTAGATAATCTATAATGCTATAATTTTAATTTAGAAAATTAAATGTGGTGATACCAACCCCGGCGTGAAGTCGCCCCCAGGCTGTGATGAAATAGGATTCAATGGTCGATATTGTGTCCATAAAATTCAGGGAGTCAGCTTTTGGTGCGATTCGGAGTCCCCTGTTTCAGGTATAGGTTTGAAACGATTTTTTGTGCCGAATAACCACGAGTAATCGCATCTTTTACTTATCACAATCATACATGTAAGTAAAATAGAGATTATCTGTGGGTATGTACAGTAGGTTGTAAATACTTTTTCCTGTGTATAATCAGTCGCGGATCCAGGAATTTTTTCCAGGGGAGAGGGTGTCCATCCCCGTAAAAAATACTCAGTATTTCCTGACAAACCAAAAAAAAAAATTCAACTCGCCCAAGCGTGAAAAAAATTATTTTGTGTAGGTGCGTGGTGGTGGTGGGGGTGGTGGTGGTGGTGGTGTTGGGGGGTAGTAGTTTTGAATTCTAATACTTCTAACCTTTATACCAACTTAACACTGATCCGAGTTGTTGAGGTTGTCTGCTTTTTCTAGAGGGGTTTCAGGTCACTTTTTACTTGTTTAAGTATATGAATTCAATAACTCTGCAAATTCCAGGGGAGGGTGATTAGTCAGATTACAGTCCCCTCATCCCGACCCCCACCACCACCACCACTAAATTTGTGTTTAAAAATATGCTTTATAAACATTAAAATATCTACTTGTTGTTAGCCACTAATTGATAAACAAAAATAGAAAGTGAAACCGTTTAAATATAATGATAGTTTTAATCTCCCCCCCCCTCCCCCCAAAAAAAAAATGGCTGAAAAGAAGTTTAAATCGGGTGCATTTTCAGTGAGTCAGTAGGTAACTGCAAACAAACAAATTTTTACTTTAGGTTTTGGGTATATAATAGCTGGCAAACATGTTAAAAATTAAATTAAATCCTTTATAAAAAAAATTATATTGAGAGCTTAGGATTAGAATCATTTATATACTATTGATTTTCACTTGTAATTAAAAGAGGACAATTTTTATGTAATGTCTACTGGGGGGAAAAATCACTCTTTTCTTTAAGACAAAAATTCTGATCATTGTTTTGTTTTATATTGCATATTTTTAGATAGTATGGATGACTGTTCTGTTCTACCATCAATAATTGAGAAAATGCAGGGCAGCTCAGGAACTAGTATAAAAGGTGGGCATATATTTTAAGTTGATGTGATATATTACTGTACTTCTCTTGTTACAAAAGAAGAGATAAATATAAAATTTCTTATGCTATGTACATGTTTTTTTTAACATTGTGAGAAAAAATTCTCTTTTTTGAAACATTGAATATGATTTCTGAAGCAAGTTTATAACCATGTAATACTAGTATTTATTATTTACTTCCATTCCTGGTCATGCATTTTGTTTTTCTCTTTTAGCTGCAACATTCCTTGTTTTTGTCACACTACTTCATATGTTATGAATGTGGAACAAATGAGTGAATATTGCATAAAGACTTCAACCTGAAGCATTCATCCACAAGTGTCTGTACTAAAGCTTAAAGTGCACTATATATAATTGTACTGTATGGTTGCATTTAAGTGACAACATTCTCCTTAATAGAAAATGTGGATGCATAAATTTCTGACTGTGTCAGGTATAGAATCGCACATGAAGTTTGATCGAGGCCTTGAATGTATCGGTTGTACTTTAATGCGCGTATGAAAGTTTACGGGTGACTACAAATGGGGCATTAACCGTCCTATCATTTAACTCTATTCATTATTTGTCATTGAACTTTTTTCTCACTTTGTTTTATCATTAAATTAAAATATTTTTGAAATATATTTGAAATTATTTCAAAAAGGCTCTATTCATTGATAATATTGTTTTGAGCTGTTCATTTTTTAATTATTGTTTAATTTTAAGTTTTAGTGGTAGAAATGTTATGACAAGCATTACCTAGCCTACTTTATATAAAAGTAGGAGTTTAATGTGATTATATAAAACCCTTTATTTCCGTGTGATTGCCCCACTGTACGTATAATGATGTTACATGTAAGTTCATCCATCAAAGCGACTGAAGTGTTACTTATTAAGAATATGAGGAAGCTCTTATAATAAACTTGTGTTAGCCAGGAGACATGAACATTGAAGGAGGATAATTTTTCCGCTCAGACATGGCAATTAATAATTGTTAACAAATATGTGTGTGATATTTGTGCTGTTCTAAATTGTTCTTATAAGTACTAGTTATGTTTCTGAAATGGCAGAAAACTTCAATTGTAAATATTATGTACATAATGTATAATTACTAAATTTGTGTAAATATACATATATACATATGCAATTTATACATATTGCAATTTTCATGACAGAAGAGTAAGGGTGCATGATGAAATTTATTACACATGGTACATGTATTATGAATTCTACTAAATAGTAAACGAACAAGGCATACTTAAGTACATGTATACTGTTTATACATGTACTTGCCTAAAAGTCGGTTGGCCTTTAAGTTGTTTGTATTATTAGGCACATATTTTGGTGGGATTTACCATTGACCCGCTTATAAGTTGGTACAATTTTTTGCCAAAATCGGGTGAAAATTTTAAGTAAATTCATTGATGTTTTAACTGGTTTCTATTAATATTTTTCGAAATGAATCTTATACTGTTTATACATGTACTTGCCTAAAAGTCGGTTGGCCTTTAAGTTGTTTGTATTATTAGGCACATATTTTGGTGGGATTTACCATTGACCCGCTTATAAGTTGGTACAATTTTTTGCCAAAATCGGGTGAAAATTTTAAGTAAATTCATTGATGTTTTAACTGGTTTCTATTAATATTTTTCGAAATGAATCTTTATTTAATCTTAAATCATTAAACAAATAAGTAATGCTTACTCAAGATACAAAAAATATTAAAATATGTAAATACTTGTACATTATGTATATTCTAAGAATACATAAATTATCATATACTAAAACATATACTTGCATTTTTTTCAATAATCCTCAGAAATGCATATAAAATACTACGTAACATTTCAGCATCCAGAAAAATGCAAATTTCTTTACAACTTGCCTATAAGTTGGACAGAGAGTTTAAGACAAAATGTTAACTCCCAAAACACTGACTTATAGGCGAGTACTTATTGTATATAGTACTCATTCATAAAATACATTTAAATGAAACACAATTGAAAAGAGAAGCAAAAATATATCCTTGAAATAATAGGGAGAAAGCCCCCATTTCCTCCAATACCAAGTGCCTGAATTTCTTGAAAACATAAATTGCTCAAATTCGTATACTCAGGCTATAGATCTCTATCACTTGTTTTGTAGCACATTATTATGCTTTCTGTCAGTTTGTCTCTATATAACCCATACCCTACTATTCTCGCATAGTGGTCTAAGGATTTATATAGCGTAAGCATACTATGCCGAAATAGTGCACGACCTTGTTTTCTGAATAAAATTCTTCAATGCACACACCGGGAATCGAACTCACAACCATGAGGTTGCCAGTCCGATGCCTTATCGATTACGCCACAGAGACGATCACTGATTAGGAGAATTTTATTAAATATATAAACTTAATTTATACAATTGACACAAGAAGGAGAAAATAGACAAATATTATTTGAAAACAGTTATATTTATTCTAAGGAATCTTAGACAAATGTGTACAACAAAGTTTCAAACTAATTACATACAGATCGTTTGATGAATTGATATCATGGGGTCATTAAAACGCTTTTTATATAGCGCTTGATTGAAGGATGTAAAAGAAAATTATCAATATGAATCCACGTCTGTAAACAAATCAGTCTTACTAACAAAACAGAAAATAAAGATGAGTATCTTTGGGACAGAAAATCCTGACTTATTTAGAGAAAATACTAGTAACCAAAATAACTAAGCATGCAACTGATTTTAACATGGAGATTTTGAATGAGTTTTTGCAAGTGCGCTGTGTTACCACCATTATTTTCAGGAAAAAATCAAATGGATTGCCGCATAAATAATAACAACAGTCAGCATAATAATAACAATAGTGTTGCATTATGCATGTACTATGCCTAAATAGTAGGCAGGGTTTGACACATAGTGCACTCGCCTCCGGCTCGTGCACCATGTGTCAAACCCTGCCTACTATTTAGGCATAGTACATGCATAATGCAACACTATTATATAAATAACTTCACTATAATGAGCAATTCAATTGGAATACACACCATAAAAATCTTTATTACCACAAAACTCAAATTGGCCCAATGAATTAAAATATGGTCTTTTATTAATGCGTTATTATGATAAATTTATATGTAATTCAATCCTTTATGTTCAATTGAACTAAAATAAAGTATTAAATTGTTTCTGAAGAAAGACTTCTGTACAATAAAATATAGAGCATTTTTTTTTAAAGAAATCAATATTGTTCAGGATGACAATAATGTAAATTTTGCTTCAACCATAGCTTATAAAAAGTTGTTCCATTGCAAATATAAACAGCAGAAAATTATAAATGTTCATTTTCTCTGTTCTTGAAATAGTAAATGACTATTTTGTGATAAGAAATTCTGGCATCAAATTGTTTTGTTTTAATCACACCATATTTATACTTTATAGTTATTATGAATTTAATTTTAATTTATATGCCAAATTTTACATTGTATAAATTGTTGTATAGATGTGTGAGGCTTTTATATTAAGTGTCAATTAAAATTTTACTTCTATTTGACACTCAACATTTTCAGTGTACATTATTTGTAAAAATAAAGAAAACCAAATAACTCCAACATGGTGATTTCTTTAATTACAATTTATTTCAACATGATATTGTATATATTTAAGTATTTACTTTCTTGAAACATATTTTTACATAATGTACTAGATTTGCACAATAGATGAAATGATTTTAATGATGAGATTTTTCGGAACAAACTTCATCTTGTTAGAAAAGTAAAATGATTTCATTCCATCATAACCACCTTTTAAAAATAAATTTTGAGGAAATGACATCATACGATCAACTACTTTTCTATCAAGGTGAACAAATATATCTTTCCTTTACCCCTGAGGTATAAATGAAATTCATATGCATGAGAACTATGAAATTGATCTGTTTTCAATAGAATGTCACTGACCAGTAATACATCACGTGTCAGTATGACATATATTGGAAATTATGCAGAATTCGGACAAAATGTCGTTGATATGGCAAAGAATGATATAAACTGAATGAGACTATACAGGATGATACACTATAAAATGTAAGTAAAATATATGAAGATTTACATATAAATAAAAAAAAATATAATGTAAAACAAAAACATATTTGGCGGGGTCTGCTATCATTGTTGAATGTTGATGTACATGTATTTTGTATGGGACTATCTGTCCATGCACTGATAACAGAGATAAAACTCCTAGACAGATATTCCTCAATTAAAAACCTCCCACACTGTGGGTTATAGGTCAGTAATCTCATTTGTCTGTCACACAGGAGATTTATCTCGATATCAGTACATGGCTGTTATGACGTGAATTCCCTAATGGTATATATTAATGTACCCGCGGTACAGGTTTAAAAAATTATGAACTTCAAACATAACAAAATAACATCTGAAAACAAATGACCAATTTCTAAATATATCACATTTTGTTATCCTGATTCTGTTAATGGTAAATATAACTATCAAAATACATTCTTAATTTCGGCACATGGAGCATGCACACATTTTACATACACTCTAATATTACAAGTTCAACTTTTCCCACAAAGCTGTATTTGAAACCTCTCCTTAACACATTAAGTTCATATTTCAAACAGAATTCTAGAAAAGATAGTAAAAGTAAGATTTCATTTTCTTCTTTTTTTAGAATACAAAATTACCTCTGCTATTCAGCATACATTAGAAAAGTTTTAGTTTCTATCTATTTAAACCAATACACAATGCATATGAAACTTGGTGAATTTCAACTTGTAAAATTTCTCTTTTACCAATACCATCATGAAGAATGAAAGTGAAAAAGCTTCATTTATTCTGGTTTTTCCAATTGCCTCCCAGTTTTTCTATAACTAATTGCTGCATGTGAAATATATGGGATTTCCAGATGAAAAACAAATGCTTTCAGAATTCCCTATCTCTTCAGAAACTCCTATACTTCTCATATGAGCTTATGGAATCCCCATGGATTTTCCAGAGAGACTCGACACAAGCGCCCACTAGGATCATCCTCCCCCTGAGGCCTCCTCCCCCTGGGGTGCCTCCTTCAGTTCCTCCAGCCCCAGGGCCTTCAGGATTTCATTAGGACTGACATATACACTGGGGTCCTCCTGCTTATAACTGTATATTACCTCAGAGCCACCTGTTAGAAATAAATACACTCTAAATTCATGTAAAGTACAATCTTGTACATGTATACAGTCATATTTATAGTTTAAATCAAAATACTAAATTCTCTTGTCTTTGATTTCAGTTTTCAATTTCTATTGTTTTGGGTTTGTTTTTATTTTACATCTTTTTTTTGGGGGGGGGGGATTATCAGTTACATTTATAGGGGGTTATTTTCAGGAAAAGCATAGAGATTCCAGTTTGTAGTTCATGGATGTTTTTATCTTGTGAATAAGTACTGTAAACCAACTTTTATTCGCGACGATTTTATTTCGCAATTTACCAGGTTAAAATAGTTCGCGACAATTAATTTTCGCGAGTAAGCCTATTTTGATCTGTTGTTAATAGAAACAAAGACTTTAAGGACTGATTCATGGCGAGAAATATTCGCGATGAGGAGGCTCTCGCGAACTTCGCAAAAAATTCTTGCACGCAAATAAAAGTTGGTTTACAGTAAATACCAATATAAATAGACATGCTAATTTGGAATTTTTAATCCAATCATGTTACAGTTGGAAATGACTTCAAAAGAGTTAGGATGACAGAAAACGTTTTTGTACATGAAAAAAAGTAGATTTAACTTTGTAAAGTCATCGTTCTTTATCATAGTTTCTTCTCGAATTCTATCCCTATTCATTACAATAAAATAAAAGCTCACAGACATTGATAATACTTAAACAAATCTCTAAGACACTCTCCACTGTCCTAAACATTTATCACAATACTCAGCTAGAAAGATATTCCCTTAACAGATATTTCTTACCTCCTGACCTTTACCCTGACAGAATAAACAAGAGAGATAAGGCAAAGCCATTCACAAGCACACTTGCTGTCAGAAGTATTTGTTTTATCAGTGAGGTACATCTAATGTTTTTATGTTACTAGGTTACAACCTAACAGGATATCATACATCTTTACAGTGTTTTCTCATTATCTCTGTTTCTTTGGTATTACAGAAAGGACACACTTGAACAGCTGGAGAAGAACACAATGTTACATTAAAGTGCTGTTACAATTAACAGCTGCCAGAAATCAGGGAAATAAATGGTACACATGTATTCTGATATAATACTCAGGAAATCTTTAAAGTTTATCTTGTTGATTAAAGATACATTTTTTAAAAATATTATAACACTCTCGAAAAGTTTGTAATTGCCACACCCCCTCCTCACAATTTTTGAGGAATACCACTGCAGAATCAGTGCTACTTCTCTGACAATTCCAACATTAATATTCGTTAATATGTTAAACCAATCTCAATGCTCAGTGGGGTATCTTTATAAGCATGTCAAGATCTTGACTAGCTGCAGGATTGTAGCTCTCTGGTATGACAGCTATATTTCCTGTAGAGCTACAGACCTGCAGCTAATCTGTGAAGCAGGTGTCATGCAGGTAGCTTTTATTTTATCTAGGACATTATTTTATTTAAAATATCATTATTTCTGATTTTTTTTTTTGTAATTCCATGAATGAAATTTAATTCACTTTAGTCTGATAATTTTGTTTAAATGTGAATAACTCAAGGTTATCTGGTTAACTTGACTAGAATAAATAGAAAGGAGAGGAAATCCAATTTGTGTTCTCTCTTGGTTGCAATTGGAAACTATTTCTACATGCAGATACACCAACACACCTAGAAAAAGTTAGAGTGTGGAATTTGTACTCTTATTCATTCTTCATGTAAGAGTGAATAAGGTATTCTAATTGAATGAGATACTCACCAGCTTTAACAATAAGAGCACCTCCGTTCTGAAATCCATCTCCTTTCATGTTTCCATCAATATTCTGTTCTTTTGCCTAGTAAATTAAACAGAGTTTTATGTTATTAGAGGAAACAACAAGAGGCCACAGGACTTGAATGGTAACCTGAGTGTTAATTGCTTCTGTGTTGTTTTATGTCCCATTCAAGAATTTGTCACTCATAGAGAGACATCACCATAAACTGGTGAAGTGCTTCAAATCTAATCCTTTACTCAGCACTCGGGGCTATTGAGCAGTGAGGGATCTTAATTGTGCTAATGTCCAGTGAAACAGTGCCTTGGTTTTTAAAATCTCATCCAAAACTTTCACTTTAAAATGCTAAGCCATAGCAAAGGAACAGTTGCTACCTATTTTCTTTTGACTTAGGTCAGTCACAGTTGGGGTTCAAACCCACAACCTTCCGATTACGGAGCGAGCTCTTTACTGACTAAGGTACATAGTACATGTACCATGTGTACCATAAAAGTTGTCACCTGAGTATAGTGTAACACTCAAAAGGATCCATGGATTGAAGTATAAAGTAAAATTAATCTGTTACTAAAAATCCTAAGGTCACAAATTTGTGCAATTACCAGGATAAGAAAGAGGCACCCTTGATCAACATATCTGTGCAATTAGTTTGTCTGCTCAATACCCAAAAGCAAAGCAGAGTACATGTAGATTTTCAAAGAATTGATACACTTTAACTATATACGGTAAACCAACTATTTATTTGCATCATCTTTTAATTTCGAATTGACAGATTGAAATCAATCCTCTACAATTAATTTTCATGACTGAGAGAATATTTCCCTACAAATACTAAGCAAAGTCATTGGTTTGTGGCGATTAACCCTTTGTGTGCGGGAACCCAATATATTGGGTCTGACGTCATAAACGCTACCGTGCGGGAACCCAATATATTGGGTCTGAGTTTGGAATTAGCGCTTCGTAACATAAAACGTTGTATAAAACGTATAAATGAGTTGTGAATTACTAAGAATCTATCAATATGTATTATAAAACTACAGTACATTGGAAAATATGTAATTAAGATGTGAAAATATGCGAATTATTTGTGAAATTGTGATTTGAAGTGAAGGTGTTGGCGTTTGTTACGATGCAAGTCAGTCCGCTATTTTTGGAAACAGGGAAAAAACGCGCATGTAATAAATATCTACTAAATTGCTCTAATGTAAAGGAAAATAAAGAAATAAACCTCAAAAATAGTTAAATATCAATAATTCTAATAAATTTGTGCTAGTAGACATAAAATTACTGAGAAATTGTCGATATTTTAGCAGAAAAAACTCTGGTTAACTTGACTTGACCTTTACCTTGCAAAATTCTTCCTGTTAAAACGAAAGTAGGGTGCACATGCTACTGAACTTCAGTCTGAAGCATATCGAGAGCTTATATGGTCGGCAAAGTTTTCTATTTTGGACATAATGTGGTTATTATTTGTTTATTTGGCGTTTTGTAAGTAGACATGGACATTACATCGTCTAAATGAAAACAATAATGCACGAGATTGAACCTGGCACGTTTTTATTTTCCTCAGTCAGTCAGTGGCTGTGCATGTTGTTTACATACGTAATTCAAGCTTTGCTTTGAAATAAAGGTTGGAAAATTGAAGCATCTTGTCAATTAAGAGTATTTGTTTTTTTAACAATAAATAAACAAATAAATAAGTAAACAATTATTTTTTTTTAATCTAAAGACCCATTTAAAAAATGTTGAAAAATAAAAAAAAAAGTCACCTAATTAAAAAAAATAAACGTGGAGGACCTTGAACACTGTAGGAAATTTTCCAATGAGTTATTGCATTAATAAGTAAGTGCAAAAAAGATATATAGAGAATATATATCCATCAACATATATTTGTGATCAAGCAAAATTAATTCATGATGCATGCAGGTATTCGAAATGTACTCAATATGAATTTAAAAAAACTGACAATTATGGAGTCAATTAAGTGGCCCTAATACGTCGTTTCCGGGATCCCCCTTTTAACTTTATCTATCACGTGACTTTCATCATCACGTGATAAAAAGTTAGGCATATTTTGTTCAAAATGGCGGCGGAAAGTCACCGAAACAAATCCGTGGCTGAATTGAAGGCATTTTTGTCAGATAGAGGCATCAATACATCACTTTATCGCAAAGATGCATTAATACGTATTGCAGAAGCTGCATCTGCGTTAAATCTAGAGCCTGAGACGGAGAATTACGGGAATTATCAGACTGAGAGAGCAAATCGAAGAAGTGTGATAGTCCAAGGAACTTCTGTGACTTTACCTGATATCTGTTCCGTATCAGACTGGCAGCAAGATTTGTCATTACTTCCAAATATTGAAACAGGGGACATCATGGTTTACCTAATGACAAAGTGCTCGTGGACCGAATCGCGGCTTAAGGCATACAAAAATGACAATGGCTACAAACTTTTTCAACATAGACACATTGACAATGTTGTTGTCAAATTCTTATCGTACAACCATTTCTATATAAAATGTACATGTGTTCCAGAAACTAGACAGTCAGAAAAGCCATACACAACATGGATTCTTATGGATAATGATGGCACTGTAAAATCTGGGGGTTGTACTTGTGTTGCGTAAGTTAAATGTTTATATTTGTATATTGAATAGTTGAAAAAAAATGTTGAATATCTTAAAGTTCTTGCTCATATGTGATTAACAGATTGCCATAAGTTTAAAAAATATTTTACCATAAACTTGATAAAGTAAACATTTAAGGAATGTTTTTCAGTTTTGTGTGAGTTATTGGTGTGTGAGTCACACAGACTTGTCACGTAGGCATATTTCATGAAGCGCGCTAGCGCTTCATGTAAAATATGCCTACGTGCAAGTTTGTGTGATTCTCACACCAATAATTCACACTAAACTGAAAAACATTCCTTATATTTACATTTTACATGTTTGGAAGCACCGAAAATAAAATATACTCAATATTTGAATTTCTCGCTGCCCTATATTGTTATACTTTTACTAATGTCGCTGTAGCCCTATTGTGACGTCACGGTAACTAACTCACGTTTCTCCATGTATATTTCTACACGTGAGTATACACGAAAATGATTTTCAAATCAATTTCACAGTTGGCTTAGTAGAAAAACACAGCGAATGTAAATATTAATGTATGAAAAATGGAGAATACCAACAGGTTCTTTACTTTGATGTAGTGCTGGAGCTCCTTTAAACTTTATACCTCCCAGTTACATATTACCGGTAATTATTTACTACATATTTTTCAACAATTGGAGCATTCAACTTGGTATCCTTACTTTATTTCAGTGATGACGGAACATGCAAACACTGCGTGGCTTTGTTATTTTCTCTTCAGTCCTTTTCTGAGAGACACAAGGATAGGGGAGAGGAAACCTGCACAGACAAACCATGCAAGTGGGACAAACCAAGGATAACTTCACACCCAGTCACTGTTGAGGAGATATCGTTTCGTAGGAATTCAAGTCATCCAGATAAAAAAGACAATTACAACCCGGTTTCAAATCAAAGGCATATATCACACAGGGAGATCACAAAGATATTGTACAAAACATGTAAACATTATGGTTCTGTGTTTATGCACACTGTAGATCCACCTTCGGATGACAGTAGTGATGAAGAAGATTCATTAGAAATCAAGGAACTCAGTGATATAATAAGTGATTACAAACAACAAAATCCAATCGGAAATGAAAATGAGTTGATTGATTATCTCAGAAAAATTCATTCAAAAGATGTAATTAATCAAATAGAAAATTTGACTAAGGATCAAACAGATAATGCTATGTGGTACAAATACAGGAAAGGTCGAATTACAGCTTCGGTGATGGGTTCTGTTTACAAATGCAGAATTGAAAATCTTGCAACAGAAAACTATATTGTGAAAAAATTTTTTGGCAGATCTTCTTTTTCTTCTGCAGCTACAGAATATGGGAAAGCAATGGAAAGTGTAGCTCTTCAACAATACTTCTTTCAATACTCTAAAGATCATTCAAAAGCCCAAATTATGAAATCTGGTTTAGTAATTAGTGAAAATTATCCTTTTATAGGTGCATCCCCAGACAGTTTAATTTCTTGCCAGTGTTGTGGTAATGGCATTGTGGAAATTAAGTGCTCATACACCCATCAGCATAACTTTATCAAGGACATTGCTGCAAGTAATGACTATCACATACTTTTACACGAGGATAATATTGTATTGAATAGATCATCCTCATGGTACACTCAAATTCAGACTCAACTTTTCTGCACTGGGCTTCAGTGGTGTGATTTTGTATTATATACCCGAAAAGACATGGCAATTGAAAGAATTGTATTTGATCCAGAATACTTTGATTGTTGTTTAAAAAAAGCTTGTATCTTTTTCCACAAATTCTTGACATAAGTTGTATAAATAAAATACTGAGTGATTGATTGCTTTATTATATCAGAATCAAATTATACACTTAGATCGTGATTAGAGTTAAACAGTATAAGTATCAACAGCCTTAAACATTTGATTACAGGTACACAAAAAATTGTACAAATTTTTTTCAGTTGATATCAATAACCATATAATCATTGTCAAAGATAAATGTAACTTCTACAGAATTCAGTCAATTATCTGACCAGGTTTCACAAATGCTAACTTCTATAGATTTATGTCAAATATCTGACCATGTTTTACAGATGGTAAATGTAGTACAAGTGTATAACTCATGATTTACAATTGAACATAGACAGTGCAAGTTAGTAGCACTAAAGTAAATGCAGATATTTGTTGTTTTTTTTTTTTTTCAAGATTGATGACAAAATTAAATATTGTTTAAAATGAGATCATGGGATTTATTTGATTCAAACTGCATACAGTGTCACTTGGTTACAAGAGGTTTCTTTAAGTTACAAAAGAATGCACCTAAAATGATCATCGGATTGACTAAAGATTTCATACTCCAGGGTAGAATCTGAGAAATTAGTTTAAATGATTTCAACCTTTGAATGGCTCTCTCAACATGGATTCTCAAATTTGCAATTTGACGGGTTTTTTTAATTTGAGTAGATGTAAGGTACTTCCCTTTGCCCCAAGTACACTTACGAGTAAATGGTGGTATATTCAGATAAGCATGTCTCTCTGTAAGTAAATCTCGAATGGTGAAACCCCGGTCAGCCATAATCTCGTCTCCCGGTGACACATAATCTAAGAAACCAGAATTCATGGTAATGTACCTGTCAGAAGTGTTCCCTCCCCATATTTGAGACACAAAGTTAAAAGCACCTGTTGGTGTAATGCTCACCAGAAATTTAAAGGTGTTGTGAGATTTATATGTACTATATGTCCTAGCATTTACAGAGGGGTCCCTGGGTCTCTGAATGAAAATCTCTGAACAGTCTATGATAGCTCTGGTCCTTGGAAATTTGTAAAAAGATTTTGGCATGAACTTCTTCACTAGTTCTCGGGATGGCCAGAAAATGAAATCTTTAAACATGAAATACATATAAAAAATCCAGGTTGAGAATATAGAAGAGATTCTGGAACAAGACACCCCAAATAAATCAGACATAACTACCACTGGCAATGCAAGGCGAAATCGCACAAGTGTAAGGATCAATTCCTGGTACCTTGATAGCTTTCTAGATGGACCGGGCTTATTCCCTCTATTTTGATAGCTTTTTTCGTTTTCGCTATGTTCACCGGTCCAGTATTTCAAATTTGGTTCATACTTTAATGTTAAGTCACTAATTTTATTAAAAGTTTCTAAATTTGGTAACCCAGTATATTGTTGGATAGATTTGTCATTTTTGGTTACTTTTTCAATGAACAGGTTTCTGAGAAGTGCATCTTTATCACTGAGTTTTGCCTTTAATTGTTCATTTTCTCTCGAAGTGTTGTTCATGTCTTCAGAAGTGAGGTCTGTCTGTGTACCTTTATCTTCAACATCATCACTGGTTGTTAGAAACCTGTCTACAAGTGGTCTGCTGTAGCTGTGATCTGTTTCAGTAGTTGTGGATGGTGCTAAGTAAATATATACATGATATATATAAATATATACATAAATAATTAATGCAAACAATTTTCTGTCAATTAACATCTGCACATTTTGTATAATTATACATGTATCGATATAAATAAAAATTCTGAGTACCGTTTTATCCCCAGTGCAGTATCAGGGTAATGAATTGAAACTTAATGAGAATTTGTACCTGACTCTGAAAGTTTGCAAGACTCTACAACTGTTTCATACACAGCAAATGGCAGGCCCACACTTATGTCTACTGGTACGTGCTGCTGAGATGACGATGATACTTGCAGCATATGTGCTGGGTCTGTAAAAGATAGTTTTTTATTACTAGTCCAAAAGAACTTCATTGAATGTACACTGCATGGGTGATTATTATGAGGACAGCTCTATTTACAATAAATTCATTCCATATTACAGGGCTGTCCCTAAGACCTGAGAGCCAGGGGATTCTCCCCTTTAGTCAAATTAGTGGCATATGATGCCCTGGTTATTTTGGGATTGTCCCTCAATTTACTGTTAGAGGAGTAACCCCAAGTTTTCCTTCTATTTTTTAAATGCAACCCACTATTTCAAATCCTTGGGGACAACCCTGCATATGATGTTCTTACCAGGTAATGTGTATTTGGAAAAGATGGTTACCTCAGATGTTAGTTATACACATGTAATCATATCAAATTAAGATGGATATCAGGTGAATAATAAATAATTGTGCTAAGACTGGACCTATGTCTGATATGAACAGCTGATAAAGGTGATCTTAGCTCAAAAATGCATACATTAATGATAAGTAATTTGTATACTTTTAGCTGTTGTCTTTATGTAGGGTTGGCCCATATATTTACATTTGTCATACCTGAGTTTTCCTTGTCTTGGAATGCAGGTGCTGTTGCACTTTGCTCCATTGCTCGTTCTCGCTTCTCAATAGACAGGGGTTTTGTTGTAGATACTGATTTGTAATTATTCCATGGGAAAAGTTCTGGGATTGTATGATTTTCTGAGCGACAATTTCCTACGAAATGTTTCGTGCAAACTCTGTGATGAGCTAAAGGTTCATATTCTTTGGGGCGCCGTATCAGGGTGATCCATTTCGCTCGAAGTTTTGACTCTTTGCGTTTCGTTGGGAAGGGTTCAAAGGAGACATCCTCCATCCAAGGATATTTATCTTGTTTATTTTTCTTTCTTGAATCGGAATTGCACCCTGGTACAACACACCAATACTTGCCCTTTGATTCGGGAGTATTTTTTCGACCCACCATGATTTGTTTACGTTTCATAAAACCCCGCGTCAAAATGTGCCTAACTTTTTACAGAGTCACATGATCAGTGTAGACTAAAAGTAGAGTCGTAACGGATCAGAGAAATGACGTATTACATCTTAAATTTCTGGTTTAAAGCTGCTTGATGTTCCAACTATTTGGGAAAACTTTCAAATATTTTTTGTAACAGTATAATAATATATTGTAAAATTTTTAGCACAATTAAAAATTAAAAACTTTCAAATATTGTAACAGTATAATAATATAGTGTAAAATTTTTAGCACAATTAAAACTTAAAAATAAACTTGATATTTTCTAGTGTATTCAAATGTAAGCTAGTTCTCCACACTAAAACTGAAGTTTACTTTAAACTAGAACTGTCCAATAGGGACGAATACCCCCCGCTGGGTTTTTCCGAGAATGTGCCAATTCAAAAATACTTTATGGATCTAGAGGTGTTCACAATTTACTTACAAAAATTTGCAGTGAAATATAATTGCTCATCATGTTTCTTAATGAATGAAACAAAGGTGCAACCAAATGAAACATCAATACTAATACATTGTAATTCCATTGTAACATTATTTTTTTTATTTAATTTTTTTATTTCTGCATTAAAAAAATATATTGCAATTATGTGTTATGTCACTCTGCAAACTGATTGTTGAAAAAAAAATAATCATATTATACAAAATCAAATTAATCTTGATAACTTTATATCAAATTCATTTGAAAATAAAGAGCTGGTCATCCAGTAATGAAGTGCTTTGACAGACAATAAATTACAATTAAGAGAATAAGAGAAGAGAAATCTTTAATTCTTGTGCCTGATTCCCAGGAGATTACACATGGTTGATAATGAGATGCCTTAATGTTCAACTTTCCACACCAAACTCATTAATTTATCTTAAACTGGATGCATGTCCAGTCATTATTCCCAAGAGACAAATGAAATTACATTATCTTCTCTGCAATGTAAAAACTGTTTTTAGCACTTGATGATGTTTTTTTTTTTTAAGCTGTAGTATTTTTGTACAGATATTCTAGATTCTATGTCTCAAACCTTATACATGAGCCCAAAATGAACAAGTCAATTAAAATAAAAAATAAAACCTGTAAAATGCAAAAAAAATGAACAAAAAGAGTTGAAAATTCCAATTGCACACCTTCATATGGTGAATAATAAGTGTACAAATTTTCAGATTAATCCTTGCAATAGTTTCTGAGAAACGGTCTGGACAAAACCACAAAATAAAAATGAAAAAACACCTGTAAAATTCAAAATAATAATCGAATCAAGATGAAAATATCAGGTGCACAACTTCATATGGTGAATAATATTTGTACAAATTTTCAGACAAATCCTTCCAATAGTTTCTGAGTAATGGTCCGGACAAAATCTCGTCTACAGACAGACAGACAGACGGACAGACGGACAGACGGACATGGTGATTCCAATATACCCCCCCTAAACTTCGTTTGTGGGGGGTATAAAAAATCCAAACAGAATTGAGAAGAAATGAAAAACATTAACGTATCAGAAAAGATGCATTGATGCATTCAAGCATGTGCATATACATGAAAATGGTAAAAAGTAATGAACAAATTTTGAAGTGCTGATTTTCCCTGAAATGGCTGTCATTTGTTTAAACTGTGGTATTTGTTTTATTTCAGTAAGTATTAAAAATACCATTTTATAACCTTGATGAGGATTATAAAATAGACTCAAAAATTTCAAAACCAAAATATGTTCCGGGATCTTTGGTATCTTAGAGTTAGATTTCTTCAAGGCATTTACATACTCTAGTTTGCATAGAACCTAATTACTAAGTGAAAATAATTGGTACTTGTATCAGAATTTTTTTTTTCTTAACCAAGTAGAAGTATAAGTTTAAGTATCAGGGAGACATTTTCTTTTTCTTTAAAATAGACTTTTGCCAGAATAAAGCATGTGGATTAAATTGCACATTTCCCCCACTTTTTATTTCTATTTTATTAAAACCAAAAACAGTGAGTCTGCCCCAACCTATACATGCACACATAAAATTATAAAATTCACTGGTTAAATAAATGGTAACTATACAGTTTAAAATTAAGATGAATTGTCATTTTTGTAGGCATAAGAAGGAGATCAGCCTTTAAAATGAGTAATTTGTGAATTGTATGGACTTGCATGTACATCTGTTCAATAAATTACAATAAAAACTGGGTGATAGGAATTGTACTTCTCAAACTCAAAAGTACACGCTGTGCATGTTTTTACCTAATATATTAATTTGTAATATGTCCTCTAGTTTACAAGTTTATAAGGCCCAAGAAGCTTCTACATTTCATCCCTTCTAAATATGTAAGATAGGTACATTTGATATAAGAGATAATCATATATGCCTGAATTAATACAGTAAAAAAGCTAAGATACTGTGAGAATTTTTTTTAATGATGGTCCAGAAAATTTTTCAAAAAATGCAAATTCCTATACAGTTATTAATCAACAAAGATTACATTTTGGTCTCCAAAGATATGATTCTTTTTAAATATAAAAATGTGAATAGTTACTTAGAATACAAGGAAACCCCATGGTAGAAATAAAATATATTTTATCATTAGGAATAATTTTTGTGTTGAAGTAAAATTCAGGCACATTTAAAACTTGTAACAGGTAAGGAGAAAATGTGTGGTTGGACCAGGAATTGAACCCAGGAACCCAGCTTCAATAGTCAGGTGCTCTAGCGAATGAGCTACCCAGGTTGATACCCATAGCATAAACATTACATATCCTTCCTTAAAATTATCTTCATCCTTGCAGACACAAACCAAATAATAGTTTATATTAATTAGCCCCTGAAAGTACTTTCACTTGCAAATCCAGAGGGGTCAATAGCATCAAATCCGTAACAAGGAAGGAGAAAATGCATGGCTGGACCGTGAATCGAAGAAGGGACCCCTGCATCACCGGTCAGATGCTCTACTCACTGAGCTTACTTGGCCTATATCCATGACCCATACCATTACACTTGCATAAACTTAAAAGTATTTCATAATATATTGATTGATATTACGATACATATCTGTCAACTATCATTAACTAAAATCAATTGAAAAAAAATCAAAACACCAGTGACCACAACGAAGTAATTCTTAAAAACCATTATTAAATGACTGTTAACGGTGCTTATAAATTTCTAAAATTTAAAATTCTAGTTTTCCTGCTGGCAATTATTGTTGCCAGCTAGGAATAAAACTTCTAAAATAAATGCCGCATTTCTTACAGAGTGAGAAGTATTGTGGGAGGAAAGTTGATGAATATGTTAACTTTACAAATAACATGGTGAATTGCATTTTCTTCAATAAAAGCACAATTAAAAAAACTTAAAGTGATATGAGAATTACTAGAGTATATTTAGGGGTGTTAGGTACAAGTCATTAGAAAATAAGACCTCAATAACTTAGTGTAATTAATATGTTATTTTATTTTTTTAAATTTATTTAACATATTGACTGCTTTATTTGAAAATGAATACTAGTAACAGCAAATAGATCATTGTTGTGCTAATTTGCTTCAAGATTTCCCGACCTCGAAAACTGCATATTCTTTGAGGATCATACTTTCTTATATGATTGCCAATTTTTCTTAAAATAATCACTGGTTTTATATTTACAGGCTAATTGAATCTTCAATTTATTCTCTTTTAAGTAAAAATCTGAAAAAAAATTCCATTAACTTAAATCAGAATTCACTTAAACCTACATAAATATATCCCTTACTCAGATAAGTATACAATGACTTTTCACAACATAACGGTATATAAAACAATAAAACATTGACTTTATAATTGAGTTATTGTTTAAATTAATTTTTTTTTTACATAATATTAAATCTAAAATTGAATTTTAAAGCAATTGGTTAATTTTTTTCATCAAAGTGCAATATTTTCTTTGGAAAATATAGTTAAAAAGCTAAAAAATCATTTTAAAATATATTTTTTGAAAATTTGGTTTCCATGGCAACATAAAAGAAAAGATTTTTAAAAAAAAATTTATCAATTAATAAAACACAACATTTGCTATATATTTGCCAAATTTTAAGCAAATTGGTTGTCAACAATTTTAGATATTTGCATTTTAGTACACCATTGTGATAATTTTGTTGATATTACAAAACAACTCAGTCCTGAAGTAACAGCGCGCGTAAAACAAGTCAGCACACAAAGGGTTAATACCCGGGTATTCAGGATTTGATGTTGGTGGCAGAACTTGCAGATACTTCTTGAACACGATTTATAGTAGGTTTACAGTAATCATAACAGCCCCATCCTAACACCAAAACCTCTAAACAAGTAGCCTAGAAGTTCACAATTTTGGAACAGGCACCCTTGCTCATCATGATTGTTGGTTATTTTCTTATACCCTGTGGCAGAAAAATATTAACAGTTCTTGAACAGAAAACTTGTTCATGTTAACTACGCCTTTGCTGTGTTTGCTGATTATCCAGGGGTAGAGAAGATTTTGAAAGAAATAATGTGTGTTCGCTGTATAATCTGTAAAGCCCCCTCCTGCTGAACCCCTCATCCTAAGGCCACAGATTTTTACAATGCTAGAAGAGGCCTTTGGCCCAAGCGAGTTAAAAAGAGTTCCTACCTTTGCCATGCCTTCTCTGGTAGTCTTAGCAAATATTGCTCCAATTCCTGAGAAAATATTCAATCTGAAATAAAAATCATTTTATTTTTATCAAGTACTCAGTAATACAGTGATTAGATTCTCCATAAACAGAATGTTCTGACAATTTTTCACAGCATGCATTTCCCCAAAGGCATAAAAGTTACAAAAGAGAAGACATTGTTCAGTAGTATGATTGATTCTGAATATATGATGTAGTGATGCTGTCATCATCACCAAAATAATGTGAAAAACAGTGATCCTAAACAATTTCTGGGTTTTTATCATAACTTGTTAATGAAGTCAAAGGAGGGGTATACTGGCTACAATCTTATCCTCCATTAAATAGTGCAGGAATTAAATCAAATCATACTCAACTTTGAAATGATAACATGGCAAAAGTATCTAAAAAAAAATTGATAAGGACAAATTATGTCATAAATTTAAAAAATAACATTTGATTTAATAAGGTACATACCTTCTGAAACCTAAATCTTTGTAACACTGCTTTTTTGTGTCAATATACAATTCTACACCAAAAAACAAAAATCAGTCATTAGTTTAGTGTAAATTAATATTTTACTATGCAAAATTATTTCCATTAAGTACTTCAAAAACGTAATTTTTATTGCTTGCACAGCATAACTATTTTATGTTCGTTATTTAACATATCTTTACTCCTTCCATTCGTAAGAATTGATAAATACAACCAATAAAATATTGCAACTTTTCAAAAAGAACAAGAATATGAACAGTAAATATTTCTTTATTGTATACAAAAGATTTAATTTTCTATATTCAAACCTCCACTAAAAAATCCTCCTTTGACAAACTCTTGCACTCCTAGCTCCTCCACGCCGATTCCAACAAAACGGATGTTGTTGGCCTCGAGGCGTGGATGAATAGTGGAAATCTCCTTGATGTGGAGACGACATGTGGGTCATCCAAACCTTCTCATGAACAAGATCACACAGGTCTGCTTCTCCCAGAAGCTTTCAAGTTTAACCTCCTACAAAATAAAAAGAGCAGATAAGCCTATCTATTTAAACAAGGACATCAAACAAGAGTGATTTCTAATACATTCCGATTTTTTTTTTTTTAATATAAATTTAATATAGTGTCCTCAACTTCATCATTCCTTTGATTGTGTAATAGAGGAGGAGGAAAAAAGCAGCAGACCAGACCAGGATTTGAACTTTGGCCCCCTGAATCTCCGGTCAGGTGCTCTACCAACTGATTGGACCTGTCTGACTGCCACATCTTAAATACATTCCATGCAGTCTTCATGTGCATGTTTGTAAACTGAATTGTCAATGAATAATGAAGGTATAGTTTTTAAAAGAACAGCATGACCTTGATGACCATGAAAGATTAATTCAGTTGGAATTGTAATCATGGTAATGAGAAGAAGTGACATTCAGCATTGTCTACATGATACTTGTACATTGTCATGCTAGCCTAACTACACATAAACTTTATAATCAAGTGCGATACTTGTACATGTACATGTATTATATATTTCACTCTTAACTTGGTACACTTAAATACTGTAAAAAAAAAAAATAGGGGAAACCTTTGGTCTTTTAGTTATTAAGGGAGGGGGCAGAGAAAGAGCGATCTTCTTCTTCTTCTTCCGGTATAGTGCAGGGCCTTTTGGGCATCATCGCACTTTGCTAAAACAGGACACAAGTGCAGTGGAGAGTCCTCCATTTAGTTACAATTAAAAACTGGATAAAAACACTACTGTCACCTTAAGGTTTACCAACTTTTCCCAGCCCCGACTTGAATAAGTCATGGGATTGGGCTTCTGTGACACTGGATGGTAAAGCATTCCACAGACGGATCCCAGACGGAAAAAAAGGATCCTTTGTAGGTGTCTGTGGTAGGTGATCGCGGGGGGAGGGGATACTAAACTGTAAAAAGCCAATCACTGCTATTATTCCCCTCCCACATTGGATGCTGTGTGTGTTTTTGATCACATATATTGCACTGAAAATTTTCTAATGTATAGTAGTATGTACTGTTAACTTTTCCTCATAAAGTGATTTTAAAGTTACTATTTCACTTTTTCAGTTTAATAATGTAAACAATCTGTAAAGAGAACATTACTAAGAACTCAGAATACTCTATCAAGGAGCCAGTAGACAACTTAAATAGAGATACTGATACAATGTCCACGCCCAACTCTCTGGTCTAAGGATGCTGCAAAACGTTAAAGCAAACTAACCTCGCCAGTGGCGACACTTTTTACCACATTATTCTTTATCTTGTTGATGTCCATAGCGAGTGTTACTTTTGTTCCATAAATTAATCAATTAAACTTCAAATTTTAACCGAAAAACTGCTGGTCACGTTGTTCAAGTGTGCCCAGTTACATAATGCTGCAGATACAAAAGTTAACTCGTACAAAGTATTGTTTTTGTAAACAAAAGTTTTGACAATGGAAGTTTAGGAATATCATGGATAAAATTGTACGTTTAAGTGTAAAAAGCAGGTTTTGTCTTGATTAAAATAGAAAACTGTTATCTAAAGAGGAAAAAGGACATAACTGAAAACATCTTTATACGACATTATTTTGATCCAGTTAACAAAATGTGTTTTATTCTTGGTCAGTCAAACGATTATTACAGTGCAAATTAGTTCGGGTACTTGATGTACACAAACGACTTCTGAATTGGAGTTTGTCAGTTGGTGTCAACAACTTCACAATACACAAAATTGCAAAATCTATAAGAAATTCGGAGTTGCTTTCATCTTCAAGTCTTTTGACAAATCAAGAGATATGTAACTGATCGAGAATTTAAGTTTCTGTCCTTGTAAATTTACAGGTACGGTGAAATGGTGCTGTCTATAAAAAAAAATCTGAATAATTTCGCAATTTTGGGGTGGTTTTCTCGGTTTTTTATCAATTACCAGTAGATAAAAACATACTTCAATTTTTGAACTTATTTTTCAACCAGTGTACAGTACTTAAAACTTAAAGTTCAGACACGGGATTCCAGGATAAATGAACACAAATCAGATAGTTGCATGTACAATAATTAATTTCATCATTATTTAAGTTTTATTTTAGTTAAATTCATGACCGCATATATACTTGTTTACATCTTAATTTTTTTTTCTGTGTATAGCATAATAAAATCCATATTATACTGTAAGAACATACATATGTAAAAAATATATTAGCCAATATCAGATTTATTTCAAGATTATTTTTTTTTATTTTCAGATATGGAAAATATGAGTCTGGTGGAGATAAAACTCTGAATAATATTTAATGTCATCTAATGGTACCTCTACCGGTTCACCTGATGATGGTAAAAATAATTTACCCCCAGTGCAAAATAAGAACAATGCTATAATTAAAGTAAAATGTTACCAAATTTATTAAGGATGCTCTAATCTGAGACTGAAATGATTTTGCAGGACTTGGAGCAGGGGTGATATGGGTTATTACTTTCTTCAGCACCTGCCTGATATTTGGTTCTATTATGACATTTGTCTGCTGTGATGCCTACAAGAAGTATTATAGAAGAGTTCCAAGAGAATACATTACGGTTAGCATTTCATAAAATATTAATCCTGTAATATCATAAATTCCACCCCTCCCCCTGCAATGATAAGATTTTTTGAAAAATGTATGTCTTAAGTTGTCACAACCATTGAATTCTTATGTATCAATTTATTTCAGCATTTTACTATTTAATCGTTTCTAGCTAAATTTGTATCATATATATATGTAATTTTAAAGCTAAGCAGAGCCAAAGGGAGATTATTAGGAATTAATGCAAACCAAAGTCATCTTCTTCTCAAGATGCACTTAGTTGTTACAGATGAAACTTATTTGATGGCTTAGTTATATTTTGTTCAAACCATTACCCCCAGTGGGTAAAGTGGGGCCAAAAATGACAATCAAATTTTAGTGAAGGAATATACACAGTGTATATGGAAAAAACATTCTTGAGAAAAGCAGAGCCAGTGGTAAATCTTGATACAAAGCTTTTTCAGATAGTCTAGATTCAAGTTAGTTTAAATAGTGACCCCCTTAGGGTAAGCTAGGGGCCACAATAGGATAAAAGTTTTACATGACTGTATACATGTACGAAAGAAGTCTCAAAAAAATCTTCTTCTCAAGAACAGCAAAGTTATGATTAGTTAAAAATTTATATGAAAGTATCCTTAGATAATGTAGATTCAGATTTGTTCAGATATTGGCCCCTGAGTGTAGGGTGGGCTGCAATTGATTTAAAAGTTTTACGTAGGAATACATGGGGGAAATCTGCTGATGAAGAACAACAGGACTATTATTTAAGTATTTAGTGACTCAGGTGAGCATTGTGGTCCATGGGCCTTTTGTTTTCATTGCTAGGACAATTTTACACATAATTTCTAAAATCAAACATGGTTCACTTAAATGAAGGAATGTGAAGTGATGATTTACCAATATATATAAACTCTACAATGACAGGGGAGAGGCAATTACCCAAGGCAACCTACTGCCCCAGCACAAGGGACCACAGACAGCCAGGGTGGGGAACCAGCAAGTGAGGGCACCAGCAACAAAGCCGGGAACCAGGCAGAGAAAGAAGATACACAGACAGGAAGTAATGACCAGAGCAACAGAGGACATATCGTACAAGTGTCCAACGATGTCAACCTGCCATCAACATCAAAGAAAAAATCAACCCTTCCACCAATAGACAGTGAGATTCCCACCATATCTGGGTCAGTCCCTGAGGGGGGTGGGGCGGTGAATGGAGGGTTTACTGATAAGCCCCTCCCCTCCATACAGGACAAGTCTTCGGAGATTGTGTTAACGCCTGTAACCAGCTTAAATCTGGGTGTCAGTATTTATTCCTGAGTTTGGCTTGGCATTATTACTTATTTGTTCTGTGTTATGTTGGTGTCACAGGCCTGTAGATTGCTTAAAGCCAAACTTGAGAAAAATTTGAATAAAAAAGTTAAATTTTTAACACCTCAACTTTTTTGTTTGTCAATCTAAAGGTCTGTGATTGGTATAAAAGATTTATTGGTACACTGTACTGCTTTTTTTTATAGTTATTTACTTTTCATGTGCTTTGTAGATTCTGTCTCTTTTATGAAAAGTAAAACAGATCAAAGATCTAGTCATGCAAAAAGTGATACATGGACATGAAATATGTGTAAATTGGTTGTAGGAACACTTTTTATATTATTTAGTTTGGAATTATTTTTTTCAAAATCAAATTTTGAAATGATCTTTAATTTTTTTTAGTGTTTCAAGTGTTGAATTCATGAACTTTATCAGTAAATGGATTACTTCCACTCTCAGATTTAGAACACAGGTGCACTACAACTGGGGCTGGCATTTCTAATTCTATTAATTTTTTTACATATTTTGTTAGAAAAACAGTGGAAACAGTCTTTTCAGAAAATTCTCTTTAAGGTAAATATTCTTATAAGCATTTTTTTATAATTCTGAAAGGTCTTCAATAGGACTTTTATGTACTGCATTGTACCACTGAAGGGCACTGTTTAAAAAATTGCATGTCTCTCTGTCTGTCATCTGATGGAATTTTTATAGATATCAGAAAAATTTATAACAGTTTCATTTTGATTAACTACAGATATCAAGAATGCAAAAAGGAATGCACAAATATTTTTTCTCTCCACATGAACAAAGATCAAGGTTACTGTTGGTAAATGAAGCTCTTGGCACAAATATGTTTACCCCTTCCTGCAGTTTTCAGTTATGTTGGTGGTTTTTGTCAATAATTTAAGCTTTAATTCATTATTTTGTCAGTTTTCTCATGTTAACAATACAATTTTCCTATGAACAATTGATAAACAAGTTAGAATGTTGTATTATCCTCTGTCTCGTATGTATTATCCTGATTGATAAATTTATTGTCTAGTTGTCATAATCTTTGATTTGTATGTTTGAATCCTAATATTATTGTTAAACCATTATATAATTGAAATGATAAAAAAAAATTCAGAGCATAGTTTGCAAATATAATTCTCAGAAGTTAATCTTGAACTTTTAAAACTAAAACCAGGGACAATATAAACAGCCCTTCTGGCATTCTTTCCCTGCACAATAGTATTAAAATGTGTGTTATTACAGCACATTTTCTTTCTGAATCATTTACACATGCAATATGAAGTAAAATTTCACAGATAATGATAAAGGATAAATGCATTTTCAGTACATTTTCTCTCACTAGCTTTTCATTTTGAGTTTTGGTTCAATATATTAAGATTTTTTTTGTTCTGACTTGAATATTTTATGCAATTATTCATCCAATTTCTAGAAGTAGCAGGGTATTTTTCCAATTGTTTAGTGTGCAATTATTAGATGTTTTCATTCTTTCTGAGGTGCTAAGAATGTAAGAAAACTGTAAGACTCATTGACTTGAATTTTTTTACCAAAATGTGATACATGGTCCAAATGCAGTGAAAGCTAAATCAAAACAATTTATGCCTTCAGTTCACCTACTAGGAACTTGTATAAATTTTTTTCCTGACTTTTAAGGTGCCATTTATATGATTGAAACATTTGTTTCTATTCTTCTCCTTGGGACCAGGATACCTATTTACTTTAACAATGCTTAACAATTTTTTTCCATGACGTTCTGTATGTATTTAAATTACAACATAGTGAATTCTCAGATATCTCAAATTTTTTTCTAGGTTCTATTTTTATGGTGATAAGATTTGAATTTAATTGAAAAAAAAAAAACATATCAAATTATCAATTTACATGTTTTTTCTAGGACACAAGTACCACGTATAAAACTAAACCCTGTTTACTTTGTGTGTATTCTATGTTATTTACACCCTCCGTCTCCCCAACCGGTTATCGTATAACAGCATTATATATATTTTTTTCAAATTGGCATTCTACATTATTTAAAAAAGCTTAAACTGTACCAAATTTATATTTTTAACTGGGCATTAGTCATAAAGTTTACGTTTGGCATTTTGAGAGAGTGACCAAAATGAAAAAAAAAAAATATGGATTTATATGTTAAATTGTGAGAGTATATACACTTATATGAATATGTATATCTTCTGTACATTCCATATGTATGCTTTGCTCAGATGTGATAAATGACATCCGATGTATACAAGTTGTTAGATATGGATGACTGTTAATATTTATGTACAGTGTTAATGTTCTTGTATACTGTAGTACAATGTATGTGATTTATTTTTTATTTATTGTGATACTTGCTGATCATTAAGTGCTGTTTTATGCAACTCATTTATTTTTCCTACTTATGAATTTTATAGACATTGTAAAATGGAATAAATTCTGTATTTTTCACAAATCCTCATGTTTTAATTTCTTAATGTCAATACATTTTAGTTTGAGCATGTAGAATGTCAGAATGGGACAATGAAGAATTTTAATGTAGAATTTCCTTATCTGTTTCTTTTTGGAAAAAGAGGATAGTGTCACAGGGTGCAATATCATGATACATGATGTCACAGGAAAGAGAGAATTTACATCATTGAATCGAGGCTGTACTAAAAAGATGCTTTAACCACTGAGCCATCTAGGCCGATATCCATTGCAAATTTATATACCATATTCCTCCCTCATAAAATTGCCTTTGCCTTTAATGAAAGACACAAAATTTAATTCTTTACAGTAGCTTCTGACAGGAATTTCAAGTCCAGGGGTGGTCAGTGGAACCAAATGCAACAGGAAAGTATTATTATGTATAATAGCTGGAATTGGATCAGGACCCGTAGCAGCTGCTTGCTTTAACCACTGAGCCTTCATGCCCAATATTTATGCACTGTCTATATAGCTCAAATTACTGTGGAAACATTAATGTCTGTGTGTCCGAAAGTGTGGGATATACATTATAGGGTGTACAAGGAAAGTAAAAGGAATTTTTTGTAAACATTTATTCATTGAATATTCTTTCATTGAATTCTATTAGTTAGGCCATAAAAAATTAATTTGAACTTGACCTAGATATTCATCTCTGATAAGGGTGTATATTACCCATTTTATTGCTAAATCAATAATAAAAAAAATCACAGAAACTGCAAATTTTTTGAGGTTTTTTTAAGGTAAAAAGCATAACCTCAAAAATCATGTTTTGGGGGCAATAAAAAAGTTTTAAAAAAAATGCCTATCCCCCTCATCATATTTCTTGAAAAAAGGCCTGAGAACCAAGGAATTAACTTTGCATGGCCTTACCAATGAAATTATGTCTCCATGAAACCTAATTTTACTTGCACATAAAATGAATCCACAGCAGAACAATACACTTGAACATTTAGTTTAATCCAAAGAAATTTTAATTAAATGTTTTAATATAATCCACTGGAAATACGATTCATTTGAATGTTGTTTGCAGAATTAACATCTTTAATCAGTCAAATTGAACTCATAATTTCATGAAGTATTAGATATTTTATAAATACAGTGTGAATTTGTTTTGTCATGATTTCATTATCACAGTTGTGCTGTTTGCTCCCTATTCCATTGCTCATACAAATTATTCAGAGATGCTTGTCATAGGTATCTTCTATCAACTGGTAAGTTGAAGGGGTGAGTACATTGTAGATATAAATTTTATGTTCATTATTACATCCTATATACAGCATCATATACTCTCTCCATCCTCAAAAAATCTTTTGCTGTTCCTGAAAAAAAAAGACACAGTAAAAATATACATGTGTAAAAAAATATTGAAGAAGTTAATTGATACTTTCAAATATCTTAGTTTTAACTTGTAACAAATTATTAGGAAATTGTACTGAATTCTCAGACCTATCAACTCAAGCAAATTTTCAACTTGCTGTATTTGCAGAAAAAAGTGCCTGGCTTTCAATTCTTTTTTTATAAACAGCTAACTACAAAGTGCTCAGAAAGTAAAGCTAATTATAGCATATACCTATAATCCCATTCACTGATTCCCCAGCCTTTCTGGCCATTCACTTCATAATCACAGAATCGCTCAAATATCCTGGCATCTTTCCCGTCTCCAATGAAGAACCTCGCCATATCAACTACAGTGCACTTCATATTGTACATTTTCCCACCTAAAACATGAAGGATTATTATAAATCATTAGTCTCATGATCAGCCATATGCTAAGACTAATGTGCATTATTGTATCATATGCTGTGGTTTCACTGATACTCATTGGAAACAATATATTTTTTTTTAAAAAGTACAACTGTGTCAACGTGAATTTGTGGACAGTTTCCTCTGCCTATTATTGGTAAAACTGAAGTTCCTTGATCATCTAATTTCTTGGACTTGCTCAGTTTAATGTTATGACTTTTCATTGCTCATCACTTTAATTCTATATTAAACAAAATAGGAACAAGAACTTTTCCTACCAGCAGAGAATTTGGTACTGAATTCCTTTGGGGGGATTCCATCCTCACCGTTCTCAAAGAGTTCAAATGATGACCAGGTAACAGTGTCCAGTTTACCGTCAGGGTGGAAAACATACCCCATCAATAACCTGTCAAAGTCGTCAAAAATAGCTACATGTAGTTAAATCACTCCAGTTATGGCAATTGTTCTACCATTACATGTAGATTCAAAATACTGAGAGTCCAATATAAATATTCCTTGAGACTACTCAACAATAAATACAAACAGAAGAATTAAAGAGTATGTGCTTCAAGGAAAGGAGCAACCTAGAATGTATAATGTGAAAGTACCATGTTTGTTTAAGTCCCTGATACTTAATTTCCAATGAAAATATTGTTGGTGAGTAATATAAGAAGACTGAAAAGATAAGATGATAAAATAATTTAGTGACAGTAACAGTACAAACACTACCATAAGAAAGTAGAAAGGACAGCTTGTATCATGAAAACATTTTCATGATGGACTTCATATATATTTCTGTGTGATAAAAACTGTGTTCATCACTCCATGACTTTCTGTAGCTCATATATGCTCTAAGCTAACTTAAGTGATTTTGCATGAGTACATGTATGAGGTTCAAATACTGGCTCGTCTTGAGTATGGTGTAAACTTCTTACTTTGAAAGTGAGCTGTGGCACTGAGATGACCCCAGACTCCCAGCTGTTTTATCCTCCAGTGTACAGTATTGTTTGGCGTACTTACTTTGAGAGTGACCTTGGCATTGAGATCTACACAGCTGTTTTATCCTCCAGTGTACAGTACTTACTTACTTTGACAGTGACCTTGGCATTGAGATGACCCCCAGACACAAAGCTGTTTTATCTTCAAGAGTAAAGTACTGTATGGCGTACTTACTTTGACAGTGACCTTGGCATTGAGATGACCCCCAGACACACAGCAGTTTTATCCTCCAGTGTACAGTATTGTTTGGCGTACTTACTTTGAGAGTGACCTTGGCATTGAGATGACCCCCAGATACACAGCTGTTTTATCCTCCAGTGTACAGTATTGTTTGGCGTACTTACTTTGAGAGTGACCTTGGCATTGAGATGACCCCAGACACAGCTGTTTCATCCTCCAGTGTACAGTACTGTATGGCGTACTTACTTTGACAATGACCTTGGCATTCAGATGACCTCCAGACACACAGCTGTTTTATCTTCAAGAGTAAAGTACTGTATGGCGTACTTACTTTGACAGTGACCTTGGCATTGAAATGACCTCCAGACACACAGCTGTTTTATCTTCCAGAGTACAGCATTGTATGGTGTACTTACTTTGACAGTGACCTTGGCATTGAGATGACCCCCAGACACACAGCTGTTTTATCCTCCAGTGTACAGTACTGTATGATGTACTTACTTTGAGAGTGACCTTGGCATTGAGATGACCTCCAGACACAGAGCTGTTTTATCCTCCAATGTACAGTATTGTATCGCATACTTACTTTGAGAGTGACCTTGGCATTGAGATGACCCCCAGACATACAGCTGTTTTATCCTCCAGAGTACATATTGTATGATGTACTTACTTTGAGAGTGACCTTGGCATTGAGATGACCCCCAGACATACAGCTGTTTTATCCTCCAGAGTACATATTGTATGGCGTACTTACTTTGAGAGTGACCTTGGCATTGAGATGACCCCCAGACACACAGCTGTTTTATCCTCCAGTGTACAGTACTGTATGGTGTACTTACTTTGAGAGTGACCTTGGCATTGAGATGACCCCCAGACATACAGCTGTTTTATCCTCCAGAGTACATATTGTATGGCGTACTTACTTTGAGAGGGACCTTGGCATTGAAATGACCCCCAGACACACAGCTGTTTTATCCTTCATACAGTACTGTATGGTGTACTTACTTTGACAGTGACCTTGGCATTGAGATGACCCCCAGACACACAGCTGTTTTATCCTTCATACAGTACTATATGGTGTACTTACTTTGAGAGTGACCTTGGCATTGAGATGACCCCCAGACAAACAGCTGTTTTATCCTCCAGTGTACAGTATTGTATGGCGTACCTACTTTGACAGTGACCTTGGCATTGAGATGACCCCCAGACACACAGCAGTTTTATCCTCCAGAGTACATATTGTATGGCATACTTACTTTGACAGTGACCTTGGCATTGAGATGACCCCCAGATACACAGCTGTTTTATCCTCCAGTGTACAGTATTGTATGGCGTACTTACTTTGACAGTGACCTTGGCATTGAGATGACCCCCAGACACACAGCAGTTTTATCCTCCAGAGTACAGTACTGTATGATGTACTTACTTTGAGAGTGACCTTGGCATTGAGATGACCCCCAGACACACAGCTGTTTTATCCTCCAGTGTACAGTACTGTATGGTGTACTTACTTTGAGAGTGACCTTGGCATTGAGATGACCCCCAGACATACAGCTGTTTTATCCTCCAGAGTACATATTGTATGGCGTACTTACTTTGAGAGGGACCTTGGCATTGAGATGACCCCCAGACACACAGCAGTTTTATCCTCCAGAGTACATATTGTATGGCGTACTTACTTTGAGAGGGACCTTGGCATTGAGATGACCCCCAGACATACAGCTGTTTTATCCTCCAGAGTACAGTACTGTATGGCGTACTTACTTTGTGAGTGACCTTGGCATTGAGATGACCCCCAGACATACAGCTGTTTTATCCTCCAGAGTACAGTACTGTATGGCGTACCTGTATAAGTCCTTCCAGTCACGGATATTACCTGCAATGGTTAAAGGAAAACTGTATATATCTTCTCAGCAAGAACGTTGACACTCATAAATTACTATGAATCTTGAAGATCTAAAAGAACACAAAAAATTATCTTTTGGCAAAAAACTTTGATGCAAATTTATCTACATATAAGGCTCAAAAATTACATTTATTTTTTTCTTTTTTAAAACATGTTTAAGATACTTTTAACGAGTAATTAGATAATTTGATGCCTATAACCTGTCAGGCTGGGTCAAATAGTCTCTACACATTTCAATACATGTACTTTATCTAATGTGTTATTCTTACCATGAGAATGGTCATCTTACTCTTGACAACTGCTGTGATAGTGTGCTGGTAATCACGGAAACTACCTGAAATAATAAATATATCATACTTACCATAAGAGTGGTCCCTAACTCCGGACAGGTTTAAGTTGACATCATCGTGACCTCCTATTTTAACAGTTCCCGTGATGTCTCCAAATTGTTCATAGTGAGTCTGGTGATATCTGTGAACAAAAATCAAGAAAATTCTGTACATTAGTTCTTGAATACATGTATTCAATAACATTTGTTGAATCCTTCTTTGAAGCAAACTACATGAATTGAGTGAATTCCAAAATTGAGTTATCTTTGTATTTATATGTGAAATTTTAACCGTTCATTTTGCTCCAACCCTATCTCGATTACAGTATAACAAATCTGAACCTACACAACCTACACTTGGTTTGTGGTTCTTAAGAAAATGTTTAAAGATTCTCTCTTTATTTCCTTTGTAAAACTTCAAAATGAATTTTGAATGTACTTAAAAAATGTAAAATGACTTTTTTTTCTAAATTTTCCAATTAACCTCTGAAGTTCCTCAAAATAAGATCTCGACCACGTCTCTCTACAGATGGCATCTGCCATAGTAACGGGATTCATGTCTGTATCAAAATCAAAATACGGAGTAAAGGCCGTCCACAGAAGGTCAAAGGTCACATCCACTTCTTCTCCAGTCTTTGTGATTCTGAAATTATACAAGATAAAGTTTGAAGTATACTGACAAATAACTGCTCAAACTCGCTAAAGAATTACAATTCTCAAAACAATTTTGACTACTGTGTTTACAATACAACCATGAGTTGATGACCATATTCACATGTCAGAGGTCCTGGCTTGCGTCAACTTCTTGCCGTGGGATCCATGGCAAAAAGTTGACTAAGGACCCCTGATTTTATGAAGATGGTTTACAACAGCCTTATTAATAAGTAAAAGTTTTTGCAAATTATTTAAATTAAATAAAAAGCTAATAACTAAATATATAATGCCATTGAATTTCAAATGACAGAAGACAATGTAATTATATATTACAGTGTAGTATAATGTATCAATTGTTAAAAGTAGAATCTTGCTAAAAACAAATTAAAAGTGCAGTCAACAGCACATTAAATTGAATTTAGTATACTGTAGAAGTACTTTTTTCCATGTGGTATTAATTTACGTGGTCACAATTTCTCTGCGGAAATTTGTCCCATCGTACTCAAAATATGTGTAAGGAATATAGTGAGAGTTCAAGAAATCCACGTAATTTTCAACCCGCTGACTAAAGAGAAATAGAGATTCCACGGAATTATGACCCCCTGGAAAACAGTACGTCTACAGTATATATATATACATACTACATACACCATTTTGCCAGTAAACTCCAGTCTCCATTCCTCCATGGCCTTGAGTGGGGTCATTCTGAGCCCCCCGGCAGCAAACCCTCCCGCGTCTGTCCCCTCAAGGTTGGTGCTGTGAGACATGAAGCTGCCCTGGAGGATACCCAGCTCTGGAGTCTGACAATGCATGTAGATACATTCAGATTTGAAACAGCAGCTGTTTGATTGGCTGAGAAAATTTACATACCAGGCTCGGTGTAAATAACTAGGCATACAACAAAAGCTATTCATCTTGCATGTTAGGTAAAAGTAAATGGACAAGAAAGAGGAGACATCAGTGTGTATTTGATAAACTTTATGAAAAAATTACATTACATATACCTGTCTAAGAATCATATGGTGAACCTTCAATGATAAATAATTGAAAAATGATTTCATGAAACTTTGTTGAAAGTTTATTATAATTTTACCCGTAAATACAGGAGAGTCTGTACTCTGTTATTTTGTCGTCTCGCTGTAGCAGTCACCAGAAAGTAACCATCCTTGTTTCCTGCATTAAAATACACTGCATCTACTGCCTACAAAAGGAGCAGATTCTACTTGTATCTACGTATATAATTATATTAATACACAGAACCAATAATTATATCATTTTTTAAAGTATCAATTATAATTAATACTCGAGGGGTAGAAAGAATGCGTACCCAAAGATATTTTTAAAAATGTGCTCCAGCTAGACTATAATATGCTAATATAATAACTATTTACAATGAAGCACTTTGAAGTGGTAAAATTTTCTGTTTGGATGGAATTTTTTGAGCTATCTTTAGAAGTTGATTGTCATATTATGACACACCCATTTCTTTAGAAAGGAAAAACTCGGACAAATGGTTCATTAAAATACCCGTAGAACAGGTATTCCATAAATATAATATCCAATCAAATTGACGGTCTACATAAACACAGAGTAAGCACGTGTTCGACCAATACATGTGTTACGGTTTCTCCAATAAACATGATAAATTCATAATTATGAACTAATTTGTTGCAATACGTGTTGTACAGAAGCTGGAACTCTCAAAATCTCTCTCATATAACTTTAAAAATCTCCATTTCGGTGTAACTCATGTTACTTGTCGCGAAGAGTGGGATGTCCTAAAACATTACGACCAATATTTCTTTTTCGTTTCCAAAGAAATGGGCGTGTCATTATGTTGTAATTGACGTTCAAAACATATGACTCAGAACGTTTGATCCAGACGGAAAATTTTACCACTTCAATGCGCTTCATTATATAAGGTTGGGACCACTCACCCAAATGGGATATAATAGCCCATTTGGGATATAATATCCATTGGCAAGATGGGAAATATAAATTTGCAGTGCAAAAATCCGCATCAAGATACTTCTGAAGGAATAACTTATTTTGGTTGACAAGTTTTTCTGTATGCCCAATGTTTAGGAGATTAATCCCTTGGAAATTCCTTAATTAAGTTCTTGGGGATCAATCTAACAAACTGTGCATAGGGTTGAAGAAAAACTTGCTTACCAGAAGTTATTCCTTCTAAAGTAATTTGAAGTGGATTTATTAGATCTTTTGCTAAAATTTGAAAAAATCCATGTTTTGCCTTATAAATTCACATTCAATCTGGGATATTATATCCAAAAACGGGCTACTGTATCCCATTTAGGCGAGTGGTCCCAACCTGTTCATCAGTTTATTGCTGCCACCCCCCTCTCTTTCTCTTCCTTTACCTTTGGATGTTTGTGAACACTAGGCAAATCTTGAGCTTTGTCCATATCTTCTGGAGAAACTCTGGAACGCATCCCATAACCTGCATTCTGTCCTGTTGTCGATTTTATTTGCTTGTTTTTCCGTTGTCTAAGCCACAAAATCAATCTAAAGAATAAGTATTTTACATTGTATCGCACACTTGGCTGTTTATATATTCCTGCTTTTGGCTTTGGTTCTGGAGCAAAGTAGAGCCAAGCAGTCAGTGCCCCGACAGTGGCCAAAACGTAGGTAATCATGTTCTCTCCTCTCGCTCCTCCCTCAGCGGCAGTCTGCCTCCCGACGATGCAAACTGAAAATGAAAGTAACCTCAGGGTAAAGGTCATGCCCAAAGATCGATAACTCTAACTTATTCAGGCGTTTCAGTAATTCCATCCAGAGTTGTCTTTCCTCTACAGGTAAGGACACAATTTTGAAATAAATAGTAAGAATATTATAGAAGACGAAAATAAAATGAAGAAAGTGATTAAATTATATGCATGCATTTTCCAATGTAAGTTCGTGAATAAGTTAACATTGATTTCTTTTCATTATTACACGTACAGCTGAATACTTCATTTTTTCCCAAACATCTTGTCATGTCACTGAGGAACCTGATCAGCAGCTGATCAGTGGGAAAAAAGTCAAGAAGTTTGACATAAATTTAAAAATGTTTAAAGAAAAGTATATTTTATCCCCTAATCAATACATGTATTCAACCTAAAATTAGCAGTTAAATAAGTAACGTTATGTCCAGGAATTCTAAACATAGTCCTGAAGCAAAATGAAAGGGGGGGGGTTAAACCACAAAAAGAGGTAAACCCCAATTTTCAAAACCAATATTATGTATAAATATGCAAAAAAGTGGGAGCCCCCCCCCCCCCCCCCCCAGCCCCCGGTTCCGACGCCTATGCTAAATATGAAAAGATGGGATATAATCATATTAAAATGAGAGAGAGAGAGAGAGAGAGAGATCATGTATAAAAAGCAAACTATGGTTCAACAGTTTTCTTTTCGTTATTTGCTTCAATGACACTACTGCTTCTTGGTTAATGCATTTGGTATAAAAAAGATTTTTTTTTAAAATGAAACAAAAACATTTCGTCTTACACAGTTTTGGATATAGAAGTAAAACATTACTTTATAAACTTTTCATGAACCTTTAAGAAATATCTGTTCTCATATCGGACGTTGTACGTCTATATTCTTTTTCCATTAATCAGCTAATACAAGTTTTTCTCATTACCAAGATTTCGGCTAGCCTCTACACAGAGACATAAAATTTCGGTCAGACAAGATCAATTTAATCCGACCATCGTAAAAATATCACCAAATTTAACGAAGAAATTCTTTCTGTCAGATATCAGGCAAAATTGTTCGGAAACATAAAAAAGAAAAAAAAACGCGCGCGAAGTGCCCGAACAAATCCTCTAGTTATAGCGGCATGAAGTAGAAAAAATATCTTCTTTTGATTTTTTCTTTTGTTCGGGAAGATTCATTAATCGTGAAGTGGTAATTTGGACGCTAGCTTCCGCCAATTCTATCAATTGATAGATCTATATACAGTTTTACCAACTCTGTGTACAAAATATGCCTTAATGTATATACCAGATAAATATCGCACGCGCACTTGTTTCAGCATGCACATGTAGCTTTATATACAAGACTGGAAAAAAAATAGAAGACCATTAACTTAGTTTTTGCTTATAGCCATTATATTTTCCAATCTCTCACACAGACTGTTGTAGGGGTAAGTTCAGGTTTCTAAACATTTACAAAGATTTCCTATTATCTTTTAATATGTTTGTATGCAGTAAACCTGAGAAATATAATTAGTCGGTTCTTGAAACTTATTTTACCTTCATTTCACAAAATAAACAAAAAAGCACTTGTATGTATAATTTTTGTAGACTTCAAAATATATGCAGTCCTATATTTTCATAATTAAGTAAAGTAATGCATATGTGTCGAAGAGAATATGGCTTTAGTTTTTATGTCACGAGATTTTACAATAGTTATAGAGAAGTTTTGAAGAGAATTACGATACAGAAGAACTTTGGGATGGATAAGGTTAGAATGGATTGAAATGTAATACTTAAGGGGGGGGGGGGTATTTTGTATGTGACTTGTCCCCGAAAAACATAGGTCATAAATACAATATATATTGTCTTTCTGACATATTTTCTATTTATTAATAAAAAATATGCATTATGACTAGTCAATAGTAGAAAGACAATAGTTAGCTATTTATAGTTTAAAATAAGCACAAGCGAAATAAATGGGAATGATCAGTGCATATAATATGTTAAATATGCTAGATTTTCATATACATAAATGTGTAATGGCGTGAAGTCACCTTAAAGTGCTAGATACAATGACAGGGAATCCCCCTGCTAGATATGCATATACGTATCTAGTGTACATGTAGCAACGGGGGTGGGGGAAGGGGGGGGGGGGCTTTAGCGTCTAAACTTGTTTATGCCCCCGTGATCGAAGATTTGGGGGTACAGTGTATATAGTTTTTGTCCCGTCCGTCTATCTGTTTATCTATTTATCTGCTTGTCCGTAAAAATCTTTTACCTTGCCTATAACCTTTTAGTGGATGGTACTATGGCTTTCATATTTTACGCCGATATGTCGATAATGTTTATGCATTTAACAATAATAAACTCCATTCATATGTCGACTCGAAAAATGGAACTGAACTCGTAATAAAAAACATCACAGTTTCATATTTAGAAGTTAAACTGACCATAGACTATAACAGCCAACTAAAAACTGTTTTAGTGTTTGACAAAAGTTTTTCATCTTAAACTCCCCCTCCTGAGTATCTATAAAGTAATATTCCGCTCTCACCTGCATAACTATGTTATTTATGTCACCTAACTTAACTCGAGCATGTACGTCGAGACCGGCTATTAACGAATAAGTTTATGTTACAGGGACTTCAACAACCTCAATTATATCATATACCAGTTCACTAGCCGAGTGTCCGATTCGCTTACCCTCATCTGGGAGATGAGAATAAACGAATCGGACACTTCTGTAGCGAAGATGCAATGCTTTCTTCCCCCAAGGAATCCGATACCATATCTGGAATTTCCAGGTATCCGTGTTAATTATGACGTCATTTTCACATTTTTGTATTAATTACGTGGTTTTACAGATCGATCAATGTTTGTAACATGTAATTCACTGTACACAATCACCACGCATAATTTACACATTGTTTCTAATTTCTAAATTGCAGACGACAACTGCGCGCCATACTTTGTCGAACTTTTACTTGAATTCTGATGGCGGGAGTCGACTCTGATGTCGGAATAGTGATTGCAGAGGGGACCTCGGAAATAGTGGACAACATCTTCATCGGTAATCATGACAGTGGAGACACGCCCCTCCTGAATTACACCGAGCCGGTAAGTGGTGTATTGACCGCTCGCACCTGTTACAGGTAGATGATAATGCTAGCCTTTAGAATTTTAGTTTAGTGTACAGTCTTGTACTTCATTGTAATTATTCAACTCAGTACCTGTCCATGAATGTGTCTGTTTATTTTTACAGACGAAAAATGCACGCGGTATTTTAATTGTTACACCTGTATTGTTTTTTTTAAGTTTTTTTTTTTCAAAATTGAGTTAACTGTAGAATTTCAGGTATCATTCTCATATTGAAAAAAAATTACATATCAAGAAACAAATTAAAAAAAAAATCCTTTAGATGGGATATCAAGAAACAAATTTAAAAAAATCCTTTAGATGTGATGTTTTTTTAATTGTTTTATTAATCTGTACATGTATATATGTTTAGCAAAGTTACTTCAAATCATTCTAGTGAAAAAAAAGTAAAACTTTAAATTGTGTGGTCTATTGGGGGAGAAATTTATTGATTGAATAGAACTAACAGGTGTAGATGAACCACATAACGTTTCGGCTGTGTATGATTAATCTAGCCTGCACTCAACCTGCACACTTACAAAAAAAACAGCCAAGAATCTAGCATGGTTATTAGAGAATATCGAAAGTATTAACTTGTATAAGACAATTAATTTAGGCATACCAAATACTCCTGAATACAAAAAATTAAAGAAAAATAACATGAAAACAATCTTTAAATATTTCATAATTTTTTTCTGACTGTATTTGTATTTAAAGAATGTTAAGTGAAGTCATAAGATATCAAACGGGATGTGTCGTTTAAATGTATTTAATTCCTTTCTTCAGCTCATTCTTAACACTTGTTAATGTAGTGTTAATAACATTGACATTTGACGTGAAGTAAAAAAAAAAAGTCGCAAGAATTAGGATAATATTTAGAGTAAATACTTGGTCATGAATTCAAGCCTAGCTAATACATGTAATATGCATCCTTTGTAAAGCAAACAGTATTCTACGGATAATTCAATGCACAAATATTTTTGTCTTTTTTCTCTTTTATTTAAATGACTGATATATCCATAGAGTATGTCACCGTGCCCCCAGGTGTGTCAAACAGCTTAGTTACAAAAACATGTTACTGAATAAGATGATCAGACAATAGGCAAAACTTGTTATGTTTACGCAGTCACGTAAAAGTGTTAGAGGGCCCTCACCTGTGAGATAATGTAATGTCTGATTTGTCTCCCTTTTACTGACTTCTTATAAGATCAAAATCAGTGGAGGAGAATTTAGAGAAGAAAGCACTGTGCATTGAGTGTGATATGATGCCCATGGTTTGGGAAAATGGATACTAAAAATTTCATTTTTGGAGAAAAAAAAATGGTTTAGATCATGCTGTAAGATTTTATTGATTTATTTTAGCTTTTGAACAAAAAATGAAATCCAAAATGCCGCCAGAGCTGGAAAGACAGGAACATCACCATTCCTAAGTATATAGAAATATTATACATTTTTTTTTTTTATAAATCATCAGCCTTAAATCTGCCACTGTGTGTATATAGAAATATTATACATATAAATCATCAGCCATTATACTGCTATGAATAAATGATACATGCTTTAATTTCTTCATAAAAGATTGATGTCTTAACAATGAAAAAAGATTTCCCTCCCTTGCTTTGATGCTAATCATTCAATAATAAGAAGAAACTGAATATTTTATATATTAAATAACAAAAGCCACAGAATTGATCGAACTGTTGAAAAAAAAAGACTTACAAATATTTCTTGCAAAATAATTGATCATAGTTGATGGCTGAATTAATCCTTTAATTAACCTCTCTATGTTTTAAGCTTGACAGTGTATTTTGCAGGTATCTGTTATACTGTTCAAAATAGAAATCAATTCACTGTTTAGTCTTGCAGGAAACTTACAAAGTCTGGTGATGAAAAACTTATTTACTTGCTTTTAATTACAATTTGAACTTGATAATTATTTGTCTTTCAACATTTAACAATGGTAGATACAAGCATGCACATTTTATCATCAATGATCCAAATGAAAGAAGAATTTCACATCACAAAGGAATTAGTACATTACTTAAGACGCCCCACATCATGATACCTTGTATGAATCATAGGCAGAGTTAGAAGTACATCATGATCGTATGTGATGTATTCTATACAGACTTAGCACTAAATCATGGTATGACATGTATTCTACACAAACAGAACTAAATCATGATATTTCATTCTATACAGACTTAGAACTAAATCATGGTATGTGATATATCATAGGCAGATTTACAACTACATCATGATATGTCATGTATTCTACACAGAGATAGAACTACAGCTTACTCCACTTATATTGAACTCGCTTATTTTGAAATTCCGCTTATTTTGAAATAGAAATAAATCCCCAGTTTTTGCTTCTCATATTCTTTGCATTAAAATAACGGTTATATTGAAATCGGATATATTGAAACTTATATTACATCCCCACAGGTGATAATGAGTTGTTTTCATAACAGTTATATTGAAGTTCTACACTGTCGTTACGGTTGGTGACAGTAATTATGCCTGATTGACCAGTTGATATACAAAGGTGTGAATAATTAATATATTGCTCTTATAAATTCTTCACTGTTAAATTCTTTGCGTCCACATATATGATACGGACATATCGAGACTAAACATAAACGTAATATAGTACATGTAACCCCCACAGATCTAGGGAAAAAAAAAACATAACTTTGAAATTAAATGCGTACGATGTACTGTTAATGGCTATTGATATGCCTAAATTCAAAATAATGGGATTGATTGATATATTACGATGAAATACAAGCAGCGTTAGCAGTACTCAACCATTTAAGGCCGGTGATTTTTTTCCAAAACGTAAATAAATGCGATCGGGGAATAATAACGGGGTTGAATTTTGTCTTTTCAATAAAACAGAAGTAAAAAAAATTAAACTTTCAAGGACTCATATTCTATGTAATCTGCTCACTGTTGGTATGACAAATCAATTTGTATTCTATACAACTTTAAAAACTACGATTTCGCTTATCATACGGATATATTGAAATGATTTGATGTATCATGATATGTCATGTATTCTACACAGACTTAGAACTACATTATGATATGCCATGTATCATGATATGACATGTCATGTATTCTATACATCATGATATGCCATGTATTCTATACAGACTTAGAACTACATCATGATATGTCATGTATTCTATACAGACTTAGAACTACATCATGATATGTCATGTATTCTATACAGACTTAGAACTACATCATGATATGTGATGTATCATATGCAGACTTAGAACTACATCATGGTATGTGATGAATCATACACAGACTTAGCACTATATATCATGATAGTCAATGTATCATATGTCACATGGACAATAATGTGTCATAGAAAACCTATAATTTATCAATTTAAGTCCCATTGTTTACTTATGGGAATTTAACATTTAATGACTTCTCTAATCTCTTTATCAACTTTTTTTTTTTTCACTGATTGCGTTTTATTTGGCAGTCTTAGGCCATTTATAGTAACTTAATATGGATTTAATGTTATCTGATAAGATTTTTCTGGACAACAGGTTCAACATTCCAGATTTAGAAGTCTTATTGTTATACATGTAATACATATATGGAGAGAGAGAATGGATGAGCTGATAAATGGACAAAGCTACCAATGGTAGAGAGAGAGAGAGAGAGGAGAGAGAGAGAAGAGCACAGAGAGAGAGGGGGAGAGAGAGAGCCCTAGCTGACAGCAGTCAGTAACAATGCAGTATTGATCTTTTTGACCTTGACCATGGATAAGGAATCTGGAGAAGTCACCCATTGATTCCTGTCTTTGAGAATCTAAACCACCATGGTTCTTCCTGATGGTTAACCCTGACAGACATAGAAAAGAGAAAAATCTCCGAAAAATTGGTAATACAGAAATATTTTGGACATGGGATACAAATAAAGATCTGCTCATTGGAATAATTTTCAGATACTTCACAGTAATAATGTTTTGGTGCATTAATAATTAAATGCTGAATTAGGTGCTTTTCATTATTTATCATTGATTGTCCATTATATAAATGACCTCTTGCTTGACCTTAGGTCTAAGAATATAGAGGAATAAATAAAACATATTAGGGCAATATTGAATCAGGAGTATAATGTCAATATGTATTAATCAGTACACAAACAAGTATTTTATCTTCTGAAGACCCAAAACACGTACTACACGGCAATATGAATGAGCGAGGTGCAAGGCACATCGTAAAATGTTTTATAGATACATGGTAATTGATCTAGAGGAGGCGGTGGGACTATATAACTGTATAACCAGGAAGCAGGGGGGAGAAAAATATCGAGAAGATATTAAAAAACAAACTCTGAAGCAGGTACAGCAGATGCTGATTTATCATAGCTGAGCTGAATTTTTAATGTCGGAGGTGTAGCAAAAACCTGTGGCTAATTGCAGTTTTTTATTATTGAATTTGGATTTATTCTTTAAGGATGCATAAAAGAGTGAATGTAAGTATTATATAAAAATGGTAAATTCAAAGTTTTATTCATTATATGGTGGACCGTAGATTTTGTTCTGTGATTTGCCCCGTGGCTGATTCATTATGTACGCTTGAATAATAAGAAGTCTGAGAGAATTTACCTTACAATGAACTCGGGAAGAAAGTATAATACATAATATGGAAATTTTGTATTTAGTTCATTGTTGACTCATGCATTGTTACAGTACAAAATAAATTTGATAATGAAAAAGACCTTCAGCATGTAATTAGGAATATTATTTTTCAGGTTTTGGTTAATTACTGCACTACTTTCCCTCATTTTTCTGTATATCAGTATATTCAACTGTGACAGTCACTGATTTGTTTTTGGTCAATATATTTCAGTAATGACCCATTTAGTATTCATGCTTGGTAAAAGATTTGGGTCCTGGTATATTTGGTGACCGTATTTACTGGTTATCTAAACCGATCTAAAAGTTCACCTCCCTGTGCCCAACTTCCATTAGTCATTTTAAAGGGCTCCACCCTTAATTAAATCATAATAATTTTAGTGATATTATTAAATTTACTTATTAGTGCCTTGAATAATGAACAATTAATATCCTCGAGTACAGACGCTGAAGAGAGCCCTATTTCGAGACAGTGGCGGAAATAGGATTATCTTTTAAATTGGCAATGGATCTCCTCACATTGTCATACGAGATGGTATGGCATATTTCTATTGATGACTTTGCCATATTATTGCCCTGCTTCCTTACTTGGCTAGCTGTCACAAAAAGGGGCTCAGCCATTTAACAGTTTGGAGAGAGAAAGTCCTCGGACTTGTGGCAGAAATAAGGGGATTAGTATGGTGTCGGATGGAGAGCCCTCGGCTTTTTGATGGGGACCCTGATAGATTATCTGTGATGTTGACTTACAACATTAGTGCGTAATCAGCATAATTGCCTACTGTTTCTGGTGAAAAGACTCCCACTGGACATCTTATCTGGCCTATTGACGGCCCGGTCCTCAACCAAAGTGACAGTGATTTGGTGGCCTAGACACTGGGTAGTATAATGACTGAGTGTGTGTATAGACCTTGATTATAACCAGCATAAGATAACGGTGTACAAATATTGAACATTGTTGAATTTCAAACATTTACTCTGAGTTGTACTACAACTTAGTGGCCTTTTGGAGTAAATTTCAAGGGTGTGACTTCTCTAGCTGCAGGTGTTAAATTTTTAGACATGTTTGATTCCTGGAATTCTGTAAGATGGACCGAGGAAATGTTCCAAAAATTGTAATATCATGTGAGCAGGTTGGTATCAATGGATGTCTTTAAAATTAAAAATTTCACCAGCTACTGGTAGTTTATCTCAGGCTACAAATTCAGAATGAATTTCAATCCAGAGAAATTTAAAAATATGGCTTTGGACATGAGTAAATGACAGTTCTCTCAAAATCTCTGGAGAGATTATGGAATTTATGCAGTCCTAAATGTATGGAGGTTTAGCCAAGATCGAGTTAAATGTCGATAAATTGTTTGGGGATGTTTAGCATTTTTCAGGTGTTTGATATAAGCCTGTTATTTTAGGAGAGAATACATCATCTATAATCATAATTATGTTGTAAAGGAACAGAAAATGCTATCAGTCAATTAAATCATCAGGTAGTTGAATATCTGCAATTAGGCACACTGGTGGCTTAAGGTCAGCAGTGCAAGAATTCAGGGGATATAATCTAGTAGAAGCTCAAACATATTTTATTTTCTGATCCCTCATATACCATATCCTTTATAGACTGCTTGCATAAAATTTTTGTGTTTTTTTTTTTTTTTTTTTTTTTTTTGATTGCATGCACATTTATGAGGTTTGAAAGAACAAGAGGGGAGTGGGAGGGGACAAGTTATGTCCATTTGGTTGAGCAGCTTGTGAGGAAGAAGAGATTGATTGTAATTTGTTTAACATCCCTCTTGAGAATTTGGAGACGCCACCACTTGCCGGTGGAGAGCTGCAAATTTTGTCCTATACTCGGCACTCGGGGCCAACGAGCAGAGAGGGATCTTTTTCGTGCCAGCACCTACTGCAACAGGGAACCTCCGTTTTTACAGTCTCATGCGAAGGACCAGTCTCCCCCTCCCACAGTGGGATTCGAACCCACGACGTAAGGATTGACTCCTTACTTTGCAACTCTAGAGCAGACGCTCTAACCACTGCTCCATGCAGGCGATGTGAGGGAGATGAGTTTACAGAGCCCGTTTGAGTTTACAGAGCCGTACAGAATGTACAGTGAATTTTAAAATTACGATAATTATATATGTGCACTGTACAGAGTAATTTAAGGGAAACTGATTGGGATGAGGAGGAACCTAATAAGAGACTGAGATAAGACTTTAGCTTGGTGATGTCAGCTGCTAACTTTTTGTTATTTTTTCATTGACAGGTCTTACATTAAAACTCACTTGTAGACATTTATTGTCATGTATCAGTGCTTGATCGGGGAGAGGCCAACTTTTTTTTTCTTTAGATCTTCTTTGCAAGACATGTGTTACTTGCAGTTGCATATGAAAAAAAATCATACTGAAAAGATTCTTGCATTAAGTTATTTTAAAAGTTTTAAAATGCAATTTGAAAAGACATACCTGACTCAATCATACATTAACTTGACAAGCAATTCACTTTTAGGTGAATTTATTGATCTCTAAATTCACATTTAAATTAATGCATCTTTATTTTTAATATTTTATAAACAGCAAATGTGGCTATATTTCAAATTACACAACATCTCAGGAATATTGTACTTTAAACTTTTATTTAATTAATTTTTATCTGAAAGAAATATTTACTCTTGAAAAAAACCTGGTATTCTCTTTTTACTGTGAAGGGAGTTTTTTTTTCATTGAGATAAATCTCTTCACTGACCCATAATGCACCATCTTACTGAGATTAAGCCACCTTTGATTAGGGGTTTTAAATGAGTGTACAAACTTTTCACTCCCCAAATGATCCATCGTGTTTAGCTACTGATAAACTTAATGTTTTTATCTTCTTTATAATACTAATTTAAATTTTTCTCCTTTCAATAAACGTGTGATAAATAGGAGTTTTGATGTATGAATATATCTTTGTTTATCTATAATAGTGGTTTCTCATATATGTATTCATTTTGATTTTCGATAAAAATATTGCATGACTATAAAACAATCCCATTATTATTATGTTTACATATTTTAACAGGTGAACTTCCTACGATTATGTACATTATGTTTACCACAATTTATGCATAAGTTCCTCTTTTCTCTCTTCCTACAAAAAAAACTTAAAATCATTACATCATATGGTGTCCCTATGGGGGATTATATTAAAGAAAGAGGAATTATGTAAGACATAAGATATGCTGGGGTGCATTATGAATAAACAGAGCTAGAATCTAGCCCAAGAAAAGGTGGGATTCCAAGCTTCAGGTGTTTTTAAAGTGTTTTGATTATAAATGCAAAATTAGGTAATATTTACACGTCAGTCAGCACATTAGACGTGAGACGTGATTGCCTCAATACAACGGCTCTTTATTCAACACAGTCATACACTTAGGTTTTGTATTTAAGTTCATATACGGGAAATGGAGGATACCAAGTCTAAAGTATGTAAACCTATTTTTTTTTAATAATCATTCAAAGTCCAATATTGAATAAGTTCCTTCACAATTATTTTTAATTTCATAATCCTTTCAGTTAATGAAGGATTTGACTTTCAATGTTAAAGAGCTAAGTGTTGTATTGAAGTAAATAAAATGGCATACGTTATTGATATTCAATGGAAATTGAAGCTGTTTTCTTATTTAAGTGTTGGTAACATTAAAAATCTTGCTAATTAGAAATGAGTCACTGTCATTTTTATATTATACTGATCACTTTGTATATAATGTAAACCATTTACATTAATCATTAAACAATAATCCCTATTGTTTTAAAATAGATGGAAAAAATGTCTTACTAACTCTCTCATTGTATAAAATTAATGCATTTGTTACTCTTTAATACAGGAATACACATTAATTTAGCAAACACTACCGGTCCCTAAATATAGTAGTCATACCATCAGTGATTTTTCATACCAATTTGAATAGAAATTCAAACTTTATCAGACATGAGACTACACATGTACATGACTGTTTAATTTGGCATTCATGTTTTATGTCCAACAGACTGCTTCAATATATGTATAATGCACAAGTGCTTACAGTAAAGTCAATCTCATTGTTTACTATATTTTAATTAGATAACTCTAGATATATCAGTACTGAGGATCATCAAAATAAAGACTTCAGAACTTACATAGAGGACGGATGATTAAAGAAGGACATCTACAGCCCGGGTAGAAACTCCCTAAAATTATAACTCGCAAGTAGTTGCGAGTACGATAAAAATGAACTCGCAATTTCAAAAGACAACTCGCAAATTTAAAATGAAATATTTTCAAAAATAAACAGCCATTTATCCATCTTTTAAAAAGCATCTTAATTTTCAACAAGATCATGAAATGACACGTTTCTTCATGTAAAAATGGCAGATATAAACAGTTACTAAAGAAAGAAACCCAGACTAAAACCGGGTTGAAACGAATGTTTCTTTCTTGGGTGAAAATTACAATGAATTATTATTTTTCTTTATTGTTCCAACTATCTGATTGGCTCAAACTGGATCACATGATCAAGTATAAAAAGTGTTATAGACTGGATGTTTCTATTTTAAAAATTTATAAACCTGCTGTTTCTAAAATTGGAAATGTTCTTTTGTGAAGAAACAATAGTACTGACGTCACAATATACAATTATAGCCTTTTGATGAGGTCAATCCCTCGATATATAGACCTTAGAGAAAGCATATCGACCGAGCACAAAGTGCTCGGTCGATATGCTTTCTCTAAGGTCTATATATCGAGGGATTGTACCGAATCAAAAGGCTACAATTGTTTTATTATTTTTAATCAGTTAATAAGAAATGTCTTAAAATCCTTCTTTATAATACTCAGTATCTTCTCATACAAGGCATTGTTATGTCATTGCATTATGATGTCACAGTTAAATGAAAACCAGCTGCACTATCTGTTTTTAGAAACATCCAGTCTATAAAGACTAATATCAACTCGCAAATTTTTGTGAGTTACAAATATTTTAACTCGCAATTTGGATATTTCAACTTGCAATTTTTGCGAGTTGTATACTATGAATTTCGAACGCTTAAATACTGGTTTAAAGGAGTCAACAAGAGTCTAAAAGGTTGTAAGCTTGCCCATCAGTATATTTGTTACGTAAATACTGTATTATATGTATTTTGTAACAACTGCATATCGTACATCATTCATTATATACCCATTTAATGTACGATTGGGGTCAGGTGAAAGAGAGACTTGCAATTTTAGTTTTGTTCTTTCTAGTGTTAAGGTCACCCAAAGGTTATGGTCTAAAAGTCAAGATATTGATATGAGCATATTAAAAATTGTGAAACTTTGGAAAACTTTATTATAAGATTTTTGTGAAATACTAGATAAAAATTTACTGAATTCTTGCTGTTTTTAACAGGATGTGTTGATAAATGAAGTGGACGACGGACAGCCGTGTTTGGCCTGTGGAGAGAGATGTTCAGGGTTTACCCAACACAAATGGAGGTTTGCAACAGAACTATGGTTAAATGTAATGTAGAATCAATTCATTCATGTCAATGTTTGTGGGCAGCCAAATTTTCACTGTCCGGGACAGTGTCCCATGGGGAAATTATTTCATTGGTGGCTCCTATATACATATGTACTTTAAAAGTTTCGATGAAGTGATATGTATTATGTACACAAAGTAATTGTTCATTGGGATGTATATTCAAGGGTGACCCACTAAATCATCAAAGATTGAATTCTCCCCCCCCCCCTCTCTCCCCTGCAAACTTTGATGTATCTATGATCTTAGAAACCCAAGGTTAATCTCACAAACACTCATCAGTTTGTGTTATTATATGCAAGATAGACCCTTGATTTTCAGACTTGACTTTGATGTTTTCTTTTATAACTAAATCACATGCTGTGTACACAAGGTTGTCATGTACATGTAAAAAATTGCAATATGAAACATGGAAATATTCATTTCAAATATAGTATGAAAAGTTCTTATTTATGGATTTCATACATTTTGGAAATTTAGCATCAGGTAATAAATGACTAACAGAGAATGAATCTAGTAAATAAATTGAGTTCATAATTTAATTATAATTACATAGAAATGGATGCATATAAATAATTTTTAAAATGTATTACATGCTTGACTATAAAACAAGTGAACAACACTCTGTATATTATATAATTTGTGCTTGTGTAGGAACACATGCAATGTATGCAAATGTCCGAGGGAAGTACATGACATCTACAACGAAAACTTTGTCAACATCCGCGACAGACTGGGATGGAAACGAGACAATGACCCCACCGCTCAGGTCAGCAAAGACCGCACCCTCAGGGAGGGGTACACCTGGATCCCCCCAGGCTTGACCTCAGACCAGGTAAAGGTCAAACACACACATATTGTGTCATCAGTATATTTAAGGAGTCACTGTCTAGTTTTTTTTTTTTTTTTTTTTTTTTTTTTCATTTGAATTCCACAATGCTATACAGTACAAACATACAAGATGAACACAATATTTCATTGCAGCATTCATTTTTAGAGAGAGAGAGGGGAAAGAGAGAGAAAGAGAGAGAATGCAAGAGAAAGAAAGAGAAAGAGATGATGTTATAAAAGAAAGTGGGTTATAGATAGAGTAGGTAGCAAAACTAGTTTTGAGACAGGGTTTATTGATATTAGTCTGAGAGTATGGATTGCCATTTTTGCCAGGAGGCGTTAAACTCATCTATTTTATCACTTTCTCTGGCTGTATATTTCAAAGTTTTATAAATAAGTTTGAATTCATTCAGAAAACCATGGATAGAGAGGCTAAGGTGTTGACAACGAACTCTGTAAATATATTGCTTCATTGACATAAGCAAAATATTTAATGATTTTGATGATATTGTTTTACTTATATCTCCAAACATAAAAGTTTTGCCATCTAGATTTAATACAATGTCTTTTCGATGACAATGTCTTACAAAACCATCTAGAAATTCTTTTACAACTGGACATTGCCAAATTAAATGAAATATTGTTTCTTCCTCTGCTTCACAAAATGTACATAGGTTAGAGTCTGTTTTACCTATTTTAAACATAAGACTATTGGTTGTCAATATATAATGATTAATTCTGTATTGAAGCCATTGTAATTTACTATTTTGGGTTGTTAAAAAAGGCAGACAATAAATTTCCTTCCAGTTTGTATCTGTCAAGGTGAAAAATTTTGCCCATTTTCCCATACCAACAGGTTTTATTACTGATTTATTTAATATATCATACATAGGCTTTGATCCTTTTTTGGTTAATACAAAGACTTTGATATTACATGGAATATCTGGTTTATGAATAAATCCATTTCTACAAAAGTTATACTTCTTTAAATCTGCAAGTATCGCTTGTCGTATGCCTGTATAAGTTAAATGATTAATTTTCAAATCATAATTGTGTTGAATATTGTCTAGTGATAGGAAGTTACTATTCTCATCAAAGAGATCATATACATATTTTATTCCCTTTGCATACCAAGACTTGTAAAATATTGCTTGATTTTCGATTTTGAAATTGTTGTTATGCCATAAAGGTTGACAGGCATATTCTTGCCAATTTCTTATCTCTTTTTTCTCTTGAATTTCTTGGAAAGCTTTCAAAACATCTCTCCAGAAATTATTTTGTACATTCTCTTGTAAATGTGACAAATATTCTGATCCTGTATTTAAAAGTTTATCAATCTCAACACTATTTTCCAATAATTTTTTCCACTTTGAGTTATTGTTATATATTATTTTTCTTATCCATGTAGATTTTAAAGCTGTTATGTAGGACACAATATTAACCATTTTTAATCCTCCCTGTGCATACTTTTGTGTTACAACTTTTCTTTTTATTTTGTCTACATTTGATTTCCATAAAAAGTTAAAGATCAATTTGTTTAGATCTTTTATAACACTTACAGGTGGGTTCGGTAAAGAAATAAATAAATGATTAAGCTGTGATATAAGTAATGATTTAATCAATGTGATTCTTCCAATAGGAGTTAAGTTTCTCTTTTTCCATTGCTCTATGATGGTCTTAATTTTGACCAGTTTCTTGTCATAGTTTAGTTTTGTAATTTTTGCTAAGTCAACATCATTATAAATGCCTAAAAGTTTAAAGTTTGTTGTCCATTGAAATTTCAGATCAGGGCAGAGTCTATCCTCAGAATACTTCTTACTTCCAATCCACACAATTTGGGTTTTTGACTGATTGATTTTGAGACCTGACATTTTATAAAATACTTCTAATACTAGCATTGTAGCCTTTAGTGATTTTTCAGAGCCGTCAAGAATTATCATTGTGTCATCTGCATATTGTGACATTAAGTACTCTGTATCATTAATCTTAATTCCTTTGATATTCTCATTATTTCTTATTTTAATAGACAGTATCTCAGCACATAAGAGAAATATATAAGGAGAAACTGGGTCACCCTGTCTACAGCCCCGTCCTAACTTGAAGAAGTTAGATAAAATTCCTGCTTGCGACACACAAGAAACTATATTATTTTGGAAAATTTTTATCCAATTACAAAAACTTGGTCCAAAGTTAAAAAATTCCAATGTTTCTTGAATAAATGTCCATGACATAGAGTCGAAGGCTTTCTCAAAATCTATCATGACTAATGTTCCAGGAATATCATGCAATTCTGTGTAGTGCATCAGATCGTATACAAGACGTGTATTCTCTCCAATGTATCTCCCAGGTATAAAACCTGTTTGATCTGAACTAACTATTTTGGTTAAAACTTGTTTTAATCTGTTTGCTATACATCCTGATCCAATTTTATAAATAATGTTTAGCAGTGATATTGGTCTCCAATTGCTGAGATGAAATTTACTTTTTCCTTCTTTTGGTATACAAGTAATTATATTCCTTGCTTTTGTGTAGAAGAAAATTCACCTATTTCATAACCATAATTCAAAGAGCGTACTACAAAATGACCCAAATTTCTCCAAAATACTTTAAAAAATTCTGCTGTGAAGCCATCACTACCTGGACTTTTGTTATTAGACATTAATTTGTCTCTAATACTGATAAGGCTTCACTATATGAAATAACACCTTCCAACTGCAAACGTTCAGTATCATCTAATTTAGGGACATTACATTCTTCAAGGGATTCTTTAAGATTCAAATCAACATTCTCTAATATTTGAACTGAGTATAATGATTTGTAAAATTTTTCAACTTCTTCTAGAATTTCAGATTGCTTTGTTATTTCCCTTTCCTCATTATTTTCACTTTTAATAATTTTTGGTATTATCTTATTTGTAAAATGTCTGTTTTCAAGATTTAAAAAATAACTTGTTGGTTTTTCCCCTTCACTAGTCCATTTTGCCCTTGACCTTATCATATTCCCCATAAGCTTGTGTTGCCTTATTGATTCTAATGCTTTTTTCTTCTCAGCAATACTAGTTACATTGTTGTCATAATTTTTTTCCAGTTCAGTAATTTCCTCAATTAGGTCTTTCTCATTTTTTACCCTTTCCTTTTTAATATAACTTGCATATGAAATTGTTTTTGCCCTTATCTCCATTAGGAGTGTCTCTAAAAATAATTGGTCATTTATAGCAAATTGTATTTCAGAATTGGATATTTCCTTAATGCTGGCTTCATTGTAAACCAGCAATGCATATTGTGTTTTAACATGATCAATAACATCATTTATGATTTCAATATACTTTGGGTCTTTTAAAAGAGAACTATTAAATTTCCATAAACCTTTCCCATGTAAGAAATCATTAAACTTAAGGGTCAGTAAAATTGGTGAATATGGTCTGATCTATAACTTCCAAGAATATCACAATTTTGTATATCAGTCAACAATGAGTTGGATACAAGAGCAAAGTCTAAGCGTGCTTGTTTCAAAGGGTTTGATTTCCTCCAAGTAAATCTTTTTGCTTCTGGGTGGAACTCTCTATAAATATCTATTAAATTATGACTATCTATTTGTTCAAGTAATTTCTTTCTGGCTTTTGGGTTATTAATATGTAAGTAATTGAAATAATCTTTGTTTGGGTCTAATACTAAATTAAAATCACCAACAATAATAACTTCATTGTCAAATTTGGTTATTAACTCTGACAAATTCTCATAGAATTCTGGAGAATCTTCATTTGGTCCATATATGCATATCAGACTTATTTTCCTATTTTCAACTGTTAAGTTCAATGCAAGAAAATTGCCAGAATCATCTAAGATTTGATCATGGACTACAAAGTCAAAATTATTGTTAAATAAAATTGCTATTCCTCTAGCTTTCGAAGTGTATGAGCTAAAACGAGCTTCATAATCCCATTCATTTCTTATATTTTGTTCCATTTCATCAGTAAAATGTGTATCACTCAAGCATAGAATATTACACTTCTGTTGTCGGAAGTACTGAAAAACATCTTTTCTTTTTTTCGTATCGTTCAACCCCTGGCAGTTAGTAGATATTATTTTAATTTCTGACATATTTCATTTTCAAAAAAAATTTGAATTAAAAGGCAATTTTTCCCCTGTGTTGACAATATACACCCCTCATCATCCGCGAGTAGATTGTTGGTTAGAAAGCACAAAGAGATAGAATAAGAAAGGAATAGAAGAAGGCAGAAAAAGAAGTTGTTATTATGAGTCATGTTCATTGTTAAATTTGGTCAAATAAGAGTGAAAATTGTTTAGATAAAGCAAGATAAACATACATGTTACACGATGTATACAAAAATTATGTCACCGGATATCAACATATGCATAGTAAATCGAAGAACCGTAATGTAATACGTTTTAATTTTCCGGCTTTGCCCGTTATGCAGAAATTATCCCACTTTTCCCACTATTGTTGATGTCCCTGGCGTACTATACTAACTAGACAGTGATTCCTTATATTTCCATTTCATTGTGAAATAAAATTGTAGATTTAGACTTTAAAAATGCAGACATATGATAGATTTAAATTACACGAGGACTCTCATTCCAATTTCAATAGTCCTCGCCCACTGACGTTAAACACAACGGCAGCCGCACGAGATTTTCATGCATATTTGGCCTCCTTAGCGTCAGACTCAGAGACAGATGCGCATGAGATTTGCATGCATATTAGGCCTTTTAGCTCCTGACCTATTGACCTGCCTAATTCACATTCTGGTAGAATTATCAAGAAATTAACTCCTCTAACTTTCAATGAGTTATTACAGAGAGAAAAATTAGAAATTGAAATATAATACTATAAGTCCACCTCCATTCATGAATGAGTGGAAATGGACATAGTACACAGTTACCAAAAGAATTCAAATTACCTGCAATAGTATTTTATCCCTAAATGACTAAATATTGTGTATAATATAAGAAAAATATTTTAATTTTTTGCAGAAAGAATAAATTTACACAATGAAGTGTGCAAATCCTTATAAAATTCATGGTTCCAAAAAATTAATTCAAGGTTACTAAATCAGACTTCCATTTTTACAGGGGTCTGTTTCTCTTATAAAGCCATTAACCCCCTACTCCTAGTGATATAATTACACTGTAAGGATAAACTTTAATACAAAAACAAGAGCCTGTTTTAATTTTCATTTACATGTATATAAGAACTAGTTGCTATGGACCAAGATGTTCGCCTGTATTCGTACAAGACGAGGTTGCAAATTAATAGACTCTTAGTTTCCCACTGAGCGATAAACATCAAAAAGAAACAAGTTTTGCCAACACATCATAAACCTGCAACTATATTAAGATGTGTTTTTTACTCTTGTCAATAAAGCGATTTGTTCGCCACTGGAATGTAATAAATCTGTGATGAATATTGAGATGCGAGTTGCTCATCATTACAGTAGAAATTTGGTTAGGGTTAATGGTGGGGAGAGATGGAATCGGTTTTATAGCATTCCTGTAAGAATATGAGATAAAGACTCCCCTGTGATGTTGAGTGACTGAAAGTCCCTCCAACTAGTTAATGAAGTGGGTTATGAGAATTTTTTGGAGAGGTTCAAAACTTGCTTGCATATGCCCTTTAGATTTTTTTTTTTTTGTATACAACCACTTATTTTAGCATGTTTTCTTCTCCTTTGTAAAACATCGGATTTCCTTTGTGTAATACTGTATTCTCAAGTGTTAAAAATTCTGTAATTATACTAAAGGGCTTGGTATGTTTATTCATAACCCTAACAATTTCTATAGTTCCTATTCTATAAAAGAATTTCACTGATGCATGTATATCTCTTTATTTTGTTTAACCTGTGGCTTAAAAAAGAAACTTCAGATAATTAGATCTGTTTACAGTGTATCTGATTATTCAGATAATGAAGGGAAATGTTTGGATTATGTAATAAGTTATTAGTCTTGTAGAAATGAAGTAATTCCGATTGTGTTTTTATCTCTTAAGGATCTCATTATGTGTGTGGTACAAAAAGATAGGACACTTTGATTTGTTCTTTAATTTTTAGCAAGTCAGTATTCGTGATATGCTGGATAATGCATATAAGCCATATTGATATTTTTAACAGTTTAAAGTAGTTGATATGAAATTAATTAAGAAGGAGCCCTAATGCATTCTACTTTCTTTTTTTATTTTTAAGTATTATGATAATTATTTTGTCATTTTTTTTTTTAATACGATTTTTGAAAAATTGTAAGTAAATAAATCCCCAAACACCTTCCACCTAAATGTTTTTGTTATTTACAATGATGAAGTGTAAAAAAAAATCTAGCATCAATATTTTTAACAGTTATCCTGAGAAGTTAATAAATGATTCTTTTTTCTGAAGATGTTTTTTTTTAAGTTCACCTAAGCTGTTCAAAGCTCAAGTGGGCTTTTCTGGTCACCCGTTGTCTGTCGTTTGTCAGTCTGTAAACTTTTCACATTTTTGACTTTTTATTAAGAACTACTTTATCAAATTTAACCAAACTTGATACAAAGCAGACTTGGGGTAAAGGGGAGTTTATAAAAAGCATCCTCAGGAAGTGTAAGATACTAAATTTTTCAAATCATGACCTGCAGGGGTAGGGTGGGCCACAATAGGGAATCCAAGTAAAAGATTAAAATATATAGGAAAAATCTTTTAAAATCTTCTCAAGAACCACTCGGGCAGAAAAGCTGAAACTTGTTTGGAAGTTACTCAGGGTATTTTAGTTTCTAAATAGTCAAATTATGTCCCCGGGGGTAGGAGGGGGCTACATTGCCCCTACAAAAGGTATTACAAGTGAGAAAATCTGGGAAGAACTGTGAGCAAGGCCAAAGTCACTCCAGTAAGTGTTGTGGCCCAGGGGCCTCTTGTTCTTATTAAAAGTGTTAATAACATGAGGAGATGTTGTGACTGAAATGTGCAGCAGCTGAGAAACATGATTAGCTCTGTATTTTGTTAATGGAGAAAAGATCATTAGCATTTGTAAATGAATGGTATAATTATAAATTTGTACTGTTAAAGTACATTAGGCTTTCCATAGGCTCACAATTTACACATTCTTTATATTATAGATGATTGTTATGTGTTACAAAATTAGAACTGTTACAAGATTATCTTTTCTTTTGAGGACACTGGTGCCCAATAAAAATTGCTTAAAGTCTACAAAGGTTTGAATTCTTTGTTCAGGAAATGTACAATCAGAATCTTCTTGTGGGAGGAAAGCATCGTTGTTTGTTTCTCTTTTCAATCCTCGTATCTACTTCAAAGCCCATATCTAGCCTCTCGCACATATTTCTCTACCAGCGTTATTCTATTCCAAACTTACAATGGCTCTTTTTAAGATAAGTTTATTTTAGATATGATTTTGTCAAATAATCAAAAGAAAAATTCACTAGAAATATTCAACTTGATATTGAACATTTCTCATTAGAAAAATATAAGTGCTCATTGTCGCTGTTGTCAGACTTGTAAAGTGTTGGTGCTGTTATATCGACAGTCTCCATTTCATTAGTAGAATGTTTTGAGGGGATAAAGTTTGGTTTGCAATCCTTATAAAATGCCCTCATCTCAGATTGAATCTCATGTTGTACTTAAGATTGATATCATGTGACCCAGCCAATCTCAGAATGATGTCATGTTGTTCTCATCGCAGATATCATGTGTTCAAAACTCAGATTGATATGTTCTCATATCAGATTGATAGGTTGTCCTTATCTCAAAATGATACAAATGTATCACGTTGTCTTCATCTCACTTTGATACATGTATCTTGTTGTCCTCATTTCACTTTGACATTGTGTTGTTCTCATCTCTCTTTGATATTATGTTGTCCTCATCTCAGATTGATATCATGTCCTCATCTCAGATTGTTATCATGTTGTCCTCACCTCAGATTGATATCATGTCCTCACCTCAGATTGATATCATGCTGACCTCATCTCTCTTTGATATCAAGTTGTCATCTCAGATTGATATCATGTTGTCCTCATCTCAGATTGATATCATGTTGTCCTCATCTCAGATTGATATCATGTTGTCCTCATCTCAGATTGATATCATGTTGTCCTCATCTCAGATTGATATCATGTTGTCCTCATCTCAGATTGATATCAAGTTGTCCTCATCTCAGATTGTTATCATGTTGTCCTCACCTCAGATTGATATCATGTTGTCCTCACCTCAGATTGATATCATGTTGTCCTCATCTCAGATTGTTGTCATGTTGTTCTCATCTCAGATAAATATCATGTCCTCATCCCAAGTTGATATTGCTTTCCTATCTTAGATTTTTTTGTTTCAGATTGTTAATGTGTTGTCTATTTGTCAGATTGTTAGAATGTTGTCAATGCTTCAGATTAATGAAATGTTGTTTTTCCTCTAGTTTGTTAAAATGCTGTCAATGTATCAAATTGTTAGAATGCTGTCAATGTTTCAGATTGGTATTTTATGAGATTGTTAGAATCTTGTCAATGTTTAGATTATCAGAATGTTGTCTTTCCTTCACATTATTATAATGTTGTCAATGTTTCATATTGTTGGTTTAATTATGAGATTGTTAGAATGTTGTCAATGTTCAGGTTATCAGAATGTTGTCTTTCCTTCAGATTTTTAGAATGTTGTCATCATTTCAGATTGAGGAGTACATGGAACAACTTCCAAACCACAAGATCCCCCTCCTGGGTCGCCCGGGGGAGAGGTACCGAGACATCCAAATCATCAGGCAGCTTCCCAAACAAGACCTCTCTGTGGAGTACTGTAAAATGCTCCACTCCAGTATAGAAAAGAAGGAGTATAACATCTTCAGGGAGCTGAGGGACAACATTGCCATGGATATAGGAATGGTACATGAGGCCAGCAGTCTGTCTGTAAGTAGAAAGGACTCTATTCTATGAGGGCCTATATCTGCCTCAAAATTAAACTCCGATGAAGAAATATTTTAATTATGTTCTAAACCAGGGAAATATTTGCAGACTTCAAAGTAATTACCAGTAAACATTTTGTCAACTATTACTTTGTAAATGATGTTGATATAACATAAAGAATATTATGCAGATTCAATGATTTAAAAAAATATATATGTTGCTTGACCGCAACATCCGAATATTTTGTCAAAATTCGTAATTCCATGACATCATTTGTTTCATTTCCGAAGGGCAAGGTGAAAGCCGGTGTTGTGGCATGGGGGTATTTTTTTGAATAAGGTAAGGCAAAATCATTTCGTTAAGATTTCTAAGAAACAATGTTCCTTTATTTTTTTTTAATTTTTGATTTACTCGTGCAAAGGACAAGGCTGGAAAGGATATTTTCGAATTTCCTCTGTTCATACACGTTAGTCTATTGAGCTCGCTGCGCTAGCTATTACTTTGTAAGTGATGTTGATATAACATAAAGAATATTTTGCAGATTCAATGATTTAAAAAAATAATATATTTTGATTAAACCAATATTTTGATTCAAATCTATAACGCTAATAAATTTGCCGAACAACATGAATTTGATAGCATAAAAAATTCACAGAGCAATATACTTGTCCTGGATTTCTAGAGCAAGGCCTGTGATGTAAAATTGATTTATCAGTGGGTGCACAATAATGAATGCTATTGGATTAAGGGTCTTATCATTGTTGTAATAATTTGCCATTATGGCTAAATTTGTCAATAGTAATTACAGTAAGGAGATAGATGATAGGAACCCTCACAGACTTTCCTCCTGTAGGTTTCTATAAATAACTCTATATCGATTATTGACTGAATTCAGTGCCAGCTGTTTTAATGTTCTCGTTTGTCTTGAGAAAGAAAGATAACTCCTTCTGACTTGGCTGAAAAAATTCCACTGTTCACATTTTCCTCCTTTCTAAAATAACTTAGTGATAAATTAGAACATTTATTTATTCAAAATAAAACCTACTGAAAGGATGTAAAGTAAAATGTTTTCTAATCCAGATATTCCACATTTCAAAATCCTGCCTATTACAATGAAAACTTAATTACTCCCATTGTGAAATTATTTTGGAAACCTTTAATTTTTTTTTTTTTGTGAATCAGTACCAAGTAAATGTTAAATGTATGGATAATTTTATCATAATGCATTAAAAATTTTTAAAAAAGCACATGAATTAAATTATGTCTATTTTCTTTAAAATAAAAACCAACTCTCCCTTTATTTCAGACGTGTGACCAATGTAAGGGTGAGATTGAGCCTACAGACCTGGCTGTGTTCGCCCCTAAACTGGGAGCTGAGCTGTGCTGGCACCCTCCCTGTTTTGTGTGTTCTAAGTGTGAGGAATTACTGGTGGACCTTGTCTACTGCTGCCACACAAAGAAACTGTTCTGTGAACGACACTACGCTGAGCAGATCCGCCCAAGATGTCCTTCTTGTGACGAAGTGAGAGTTTTCTCCTCTTTGCATACTATAAACTGAGAACATGCAAACTTAAGTTATAAGTTCTGTTTAGTATTACTTAAGAAATAATTTTAAAAATATAAAAAAAAATTCATTATTTGATTTTGTTAGAATTAAATCTAGCTTTAGAGCAGATTTATTAAATTAGAATCAAGAAACAGTTGAATCACATTGTCTCAAATAGGATTGGACCAAGAAAATCTATGAATTTAAGATAAGAAGGTGATTGGGACTTTTGTCTCACTCTGGAATATCATAAATGGTATCAGAGATTCTGAAACTTCAATGTCTCTATTCAATTTCGATTGAAAACTGGTCTCGGTATTTTGCCTTGGTCAGCCAGAGTATAATGTAGAATTATTTTAATTAAAGGTGTCAAATTATTTGTTAGTTCGATTTGGTTGGTTTTGTTGGAGACAAACCCAGTAATTTTGTAACTTGTAAATTCAGACAATTCAATGAATCAATATATTTACAAAATAATTGTTAATGCATGGGGATGTTAATTTGTTGATTATTAAGGGTGTTCCACAAAATCCATGAACATTGGTCTCCCATGAACAATGATGATGCGATCCACAGTTGTCTACTATAATCAGATATATATATACATAGTGTCATCTTGTAATCAGGTACCTTCTGTTACAACTTGAATTTGTTTAATTGCTATATTAAAAAGGACTAAAATATTTTGGTTATCAGAATATGTGTTTTTTTAAAAGTAATTCAGAGCACTTGAAGCCTATAGTGCTTAAAGATACATGTATAATTGGCTCTTATTCCTGGCACTGTGGAAAGAGTTATCTCCCTTCCCTTGTCAGCTTTATAACACATAACTAATCTGTGTCTCTTTACAACAACTACAAATTAGATGTAATCATTACTGCTGACAGAATGGGGTTCTTCTCAATCAGAATCATGTGTGTCCTGTCTTGTTACATCAGAGACACCCACTCACACATGCACTGCAGACACTGTACATTGTACTCAGATTGAAATTATCCTCAAAACATTTCACTTAAGATGTTTTAAACTTTAAAGAAAATGTGGGCAATTTAGTTATATTGGCAGTATTTTGTCTACTTTATGTTTCAATTTTGTTGAATGTCATAAAATAATTTGCAAAGATGTAAACATGTTAACAGGTATGAAAAAGTCAGTCAAAATATTTCAGGTTTCACTGTAGCTCAGTGGTTATACAGATCAGCGCTGACAATGAGTACAATTGAGATGGCATGGGTTTGAGTCCCAGTTGAGATTTGATTTTTACCAAGTGCATGACTTTTTCCACCCAATGTGGGACAATTTTCATAGCCTTTAATATTTTGTCTATAAATCCCTGTGACAGATAAATTAGATTTATACCAGTATTTATTATAAGCAGTGCTTTTGATATCTAAAAGATCCAAGGTTTCACATTTCCATGAGATTGTGATTTTTTTATAGGTATGAAAGCCATTGAACCATTGTTTACTCTAACACATATTGAAGATCACTGTCACTTTGACATTGGATTCGAAGGTTGTTGAATTTGAATTTCAAAACATGTCTGGTGTCACGGAAGCATGGGGAGTATATTAATATGAACATAATGAAAACATTCGGTTGTTATAATTCTTGTGTAAACTGTTTTCAATGAGAAGGACATATCTTTATATGTTGCAAGATTGTTATGAATGATAAAATTTAGTTTGAATTCTTTATGTTAATGATTTTTAAGTAATGTCAGAATATTTGAAATATTAATAAGTTTCTTAAAATGAAAATTAGTGTCCATATATAACGACAACACATGAAGTAATTCCTTGGATCTGTGGATATTTATAGAAATTTAAAGATTATATTTCTTATTGTAGAAATGACTTACTCTGAACGACATTATTTAAGAGGATTTTCTATACCAATCATTGAGATTATATTTAAAAAGAGTTTTTTAAAAATAAACATAGATCAAAGTTCTATGGATCTTGACTTCTTAACCAAAGCAATATAATGGCAATATTAAGTAATGGTTGGGGCAATGATTGCAATAATGTAAATAATTAAGTCATCACGGAACTGTCACGGTTGTAAATTATTCTTTCGTGACCCCTGGCTATATTGGGTCGGACAAGAATTCTGACACCGTTTTACGTAATGAAAAGCACAGCCTGCTTTTTGTCAAATTCCAGGTGTAGCTTAAACACAATTCTACCTGAACTGCCATCTGCCTCTGTTATCTCATGACTCATGTCTTCTAATTCTGTCTCCCTCTGGTGTCTGGTAAAAAAAATAAAAACAGGGATGGTCTGATCAGCTAATTATAGCTTTATACCTTACCGAACATTGTCGTGGCCATAAGACCTTGAGGGTTTGACGGTTTTTACTAGGGACTGGACATTCCATTATTAAAAGTCTGTTGACTTGGACCAGGATATCTGGGTTGAAGGCCCACAACATTGCAAGAGCATTTTCGTGGGAGATAGTATTCTTGTGAATGAATCAGAACTGACCAGGAATTGGCCGGCTATTTTGGTGTGGAATGTTTACATAGAGAATCACAAGGGAATTCTTTTATTTATAGGTTGTAGGTTGTGTTTATCAACTCTCCAACAACATAAGGAGTCAGCTGGCTGTCAAAGGATATTAAATTATACAGCAATTGCTAATACAGTTATAAATCAATGAGGATACAGGTCCTGTAGTACCTAAGGTGCTCCATTCAGAGGATCATTTCACTTGTGTGTTTGGCTTACACCTTTAACACAGCAATAATAACTTGGAGTCATTTTTAAATGACAATCCCCTTGTAGTTTCACATTGAGCTATAAACATTCTTGTATTGAGGTATAGTACCTGTTGTAGAGCAGTTAAATTTCAAAATAAATAAATACACAAGGATATAGGATTATCAAAACCAGACTCAAAGAGCATTGGGACCGTTCAGTTGAAATCTGCAGGTATATACAACAGGAGTGTCAGGTGTATATACAGGCATGGAGGAAAAGATGCAGGCCTGCTCCATAGAACCTAAGGAGGAACTGGTCGCTAGAATAGAAGCCGAAAAACAACCCACGGTAAATGTCTAACCCTCATCTGCACTATCAGCTGAGACTCTCTCCTTGGCTTCATTCTGTCTTTTTCTCTGATTATCTTTCCTTTGGTAGAGTTGACTTGTACCTTTATTATCACATAGACCGAGACAGTACTTGAGATTTAGTAGTAGATAGGGGTGGTTGTGTCATGTATTTACAGATTGCACCACGTCAGGATAGGGACCCACTTTCCTACAGCCTTCTCTTATACTTGTGTTGATTAACGTGTTTTCACTTTCTTCCTACATTTTTTCTGGATACATTTTTGTGGCTGATGGAGTTATTCCCTTACCCTGGGGCTTCTCTATAAACCCATTTAATTTATGATGATGAGTTTTGCAGTCTAGATGAATATCAATTTAAAGTCTAAATGGGGTTTTCCCTTCAAGAAATTGCTTTAATTTTTACTTAGAGTATATGACAGTTCCAGTACTGTCAATCATTCAATTTGCTATGTTTTGTTTTTCTTGGAATGTTGACAGAGCTTTTTTCTTAGAAAATGTCATTAAAGTAATATTCAAGATATTGTCTATAAGAAAGAGTTACGTAGCACAGACTTTGATATGATGTCACATGATACAGGAGGTATCAACTCAGGTATAATGGGGTGATGTGCGGTGCAATGTCTCAAAGGGTTGACCCCTCAACCCCTCCTTGGGTCCAACAAAGGCCATGTTGCCCTCGAACACAGTCAATAAATGTAATATCATCTCTGAAATTCTGAAATGTTTTCTTGATTAAGCCTCCCGACCCTTATCAGCATCAATCAGAGAATAGTAAATGTCTTCATTAGGAAAATTTTTTTCTCTTTTGCTGTAGCTTAGATGTTGAGAAAACTTCAGATTATACATGTAATAGGCATATAAAGATGGACAAGGTCACTGGATATGTAATGTAAAATTTTAGACATCTAATATTATTAGTTACACAGTCAGTTAGTGACCTAATATGGATTCATACAGGGTGTGAAATGGAAATCCATATTGGGCGAGGCTTGGATTTCCATTTCACACCCTGTATGAATCCGTATTAGGTCACTTACTGACTGTGTTACGAATTTATCCCGCTGAAGACCTTTTTCAATACAAAAAAAAAAAAACATTTGTGCATATTATGAAAATATTAGTTTTAATCCAATAACAATCAACATAAAATATCGTTACGGTAACAAGAAATTTAACTAAACTACCTATGTAAACCGTTTCTTAGCCGCCATTTTTATTTACAATAACAATGCTTCGAACGGAATTGCATGCCCGATTTTCATTTTACGCCTCGACGGAGATATAATATGGAAACGGAGACGTAATACGGTAAATTTCAGGGCGTCATGTGATTAGCTTTTATCCAATCAGTAATCGACAAATTTGTCTGAAGTAGGATAAATTTATACCCCCCGCTTGAAAAGCGGGAGGATATATAGTAATTGGGATGTCCGTCCGTCTGTTACGCTTTGGAGTACCCATGTCTTATCCGCAACTTCTCTCATATCACTGAAGGAAATTTGATGAGACTTAAACAGAATCTTTATTACATATTGCCATTGTGCACCTCCTATTTTACTTTTTTATCTGGCACATATTTTGGGTTTCCCTTAGCAAAACATGGACACTGCCAGTATATTCATATGGGAGGCGGGGGTATCATTTATTGAGCTCCTTGCTCACAGTACCTTTAGTTTTTAAATGAAATAGCTTTAAAAATCATGCTAATGGTTGATATGTACAATGTAATGACTATGAACAGAGGTTACTTAGACAAGGTCACAAATTTTAGATTGTTTAATTCTGAAAACTAAAAAATGTTATAAATTCTAAGACAAAACTTGTATTGGAGGCACAGAAGGATATGTTATACTTTACACAAAGGTTGCTAAATGTGTCCAGGAAATTTTCCATGTTTCTATGC